TCAGAGGAAGCTGGCAGCATTCAGAGGAAGCTGCAGCATTCAGAGGAAGCTGCAGTATTCAGAGGAAGCTACAGCATTTAGAGGAAGCTGGCAGCATTCAGAGGAAGCTGCAACATTCAGAGGAAGCTGCAACATTCAAAGGAAGCTGCAGCATTCAGAGGAAGCTGGCAACATTCAGAGGAAGCTGCAGCATTCAGAGGAAGCTGGCAGTATTCAGGGGAAGCTGCAGCATTCAGAGGAAGCTGGCAACATTCAGAAGAAGCTGCAGCATTCAGAGGGAGCTGGCAGTATTCAGGGGAAGCTGCAGCATTCAGAGGAAGCTGGCAGTATTCAGGGGAAGCTGCAGCATTCAGGGGAAGCTGCAGCATTCAGAGGAAGCTGCAGCATTCAGAGGAAGCTGGCAGTATTCAGGGGAAGCTGCAGCATTCAGAGGAAGCTGCAGCATTCAGAGGAAGCTGCAGCATTCAGAGGAAGCTGGTAACATTCAGAGGAAGCTGCAGCATTCAGAGGAAGCTGGCAGCATTCAGAGGAAGCTGGCAGCATTTGGAGGAAGCTGCAGCATGCAGAGGCAGCTGGTAACATCCTTAGGAAGCTGCAGCATTTGAAGGAAGCTGCAGCATTCAGAGGAAGCTGCAGCATCCAGAGGAAGCTGCAACATTCAGAGGAAGCTGCAGCATTCGGAGGAAGCTGGCAGCATTCAGAGGAAGCTGCAGCATTCAGAGGAAGCTGGCAGCATTCAGAGGAAGCTGCAGCATTTAGAGGAAGCTGGCAGCATTCAGAGGAAACTGGCAGCATTCAGAGGAAGCTGCAGCATTCAGAGGAAGCTGCAGCATTCAGAGGAAGCTGGCAGTATTCAGGGGAAGCTGCAGCATTCAGAGGAAGCTGCAGCATTCAGAGGAAGCTGCAGCATTCAGAGGAAGCTGCAGCATTCAGAGGAAGCTGGCAGCATTCGGAGGAGGCTGCAGCATTCAGAGGAAGCTGGTAACATTCATAGGAAGCTGCAGCATTCGGAGGAAGCTGCAGCATTCAGAGGAAGCTGGTAACATTCATAGGAAGCTGCAGCATTCGGAGGAAGCTGCAGCATTCAGAGGAAGCTGGCAGCATTCAGAGGAAGCTGGCAGCATTCAGAGGAAGCTGCAGCATTCAGAGGAAGCTGGCAGCATTCAGAGGAAGCTGCAGCATTCAGAGGAAGCTGGTAACATTCATAGGAAGCTGGCAGCATTCAGAGGAAGCTGGCAGCATTCAGAGGAAGCTGCAGCATTCAGAGGAAGCTGGCAGCATTCAGAGGAAGCTGGCAGTATTCAAGGGAAGCTGGTAACATTCATAGGAAGCTGGCAGTATTCAGGGGAAGCTGCAGCATTCAGAGGAAGCTGGCATCATTCAGGGGAATATGGCAGCATTCAGAGGAAGCTGGCAGCATTCAGAGGAATCTGGCAGCATTCAGAGGAAGATGGCAGCATTCAGGGGAAGCTGGCAGTATTCAGGGGAAGCTGCAGCATTCAGAGGAAGCTGGCAGCATTCAGAGGAAACTGGCAGCATTCAGAGGACACTGCAGCATTCAGAGGAAGCTGGCAGCATTCAGAGGAAACTGGCAGTATTCAGAGGAAGCTGGCAGCATTCAGAGGAAACTGCAACATTCAGAGGAAGCTGGCAGCAGTCAGAGGAAACTGTTGACTGTGAGGGGATGGAGAAAATGTTGAGTTCTGGCTGTCAGGAGCAGCAGAGCAGCTCTGCCAGAAGCTGCAGCTGATCTGTTTCTATCTGCATCCACATCCCTGAGCCAGAAGAAACAAACAGATCCGCCTAGTCAGAGCGAGAAAAACCTCTCTGCTTCTGACCACAAGCTTACTCTCAGGTTTAATGTTTCTAAATCCCTTTATTGTCTCACATCCGAAAAACTTCCTCTCTGCATTTAACCCATCCCCTTGGGGAGCAGTGGGCGGCCATTGTGCGGCGCCCGTGGAGCAGTGAGGGGTTAAGGGTCTTGCTCAGGAACCCAGAGTGGCAGTCTGTGGGGATCGAACCGTGTACTAGCAACCTTCTTAGAGCAAAGACTGTTGTAACCATGAGGCCACAACTATTCAATATCCCAGAATGCTTTGCAAGAACTCTCCTTTCAAAGCATTCTGGGATATGCAGATTCCGTTGGGAGGAGGTGGAGTCATGATGACAGGAAATGTTGTTTTTTTGCCATGAGGTCAGAATTCAGCCTGATAATCATCGGAAACGACCGATTTCCACAGAACATTTTATTCTTACAGATTTAACTCTGAGGCTTGTTTTGTTTTCTCCCAGCCGCGTGTCGGGCCGTTTCTCTGGTGACATGTCAACTTTTTTACTGGAGGGAGGAACAAACCAGTTGTGGCTAAAAACGTAATAACTTTAGCCCCAGAACCAAAGGCGTTTAGGAGAGACTACAGCTGAGTGGCGAACTAGCCTAGCGCAGAGGGAACAAGTTCAATATGTACACGTAGAGAAGTTCATATGCATCAAAGTGCTTGTTTGGGTATTTATCAAGCATTTGCTCTTTGAGCATAAGTATGACTTTATATACATCGAATGACCTCTGACCCCAAGTTTAGCTTCATCAGCTGTATGGTGTGCATCGATGCTCCATGCTAGCTGAGTACGGCTCCCATGCCTGCAGGGTGATCACCCTGTAGGCTACAGGTCTAGTGCCCCTAGTGGCTAAAAGTTACACACTCCTGCTTGAACAGGAAATAAAACAAACTGTACTTTGGAAGCAGTAATACCCATTAAACAACATTTATTCATGAATCTACTGGCAAAGGCCTGAGAGGTGCTGGAGCGCCCCCTAGTGGAACAGAGAAAAACTACAAATAAGAAAAGATGTGGAAATGATGACTACATAGATCTAAAAAAAGAAGAAGAAACATGTCTGCCAGAATCCTGAGTGGAATCTGACAGAGAACCTGTAAAGGAGATTCATTGTGACGAGACCTTCCAACCAGAGAAATAATCAAAGACCAACAGAAAGCAATCAATCAGTAGGGACAGGTTACTCAGTGCTGCCCTCTAGGGGTCAGGGCCTGGTTGGGGTTAAAGTCATCTTGTCCTCCTGACATTTCTGGGTCGGTACATTAAAGTGGCAAAGCTTCTGGCCCCGGGCTCCATAAGGCCTCCCTGACCCTTCAATGGAGTTAAATTTATGACATTATTGTTGCAACTTAAGCTGCTTTTACACCGAAGGAATTAGGGACATCAAAAACGCTCAAAATGCAGAAATTTGTATGCTCGGCACTCTGGTTGTTTATCTGCTCGTTCTGTAGCCTCCAGCTAGAGAGCAGCTCGGCTTTATTGACTTTATGAGCTGGAAAAATAGTTTGAAAAGGTTTTTATACGATCGTTAAAAAGTGCAAACCAACAATACAAAATCTAAAACACAAATTTACATTTCAGAAAAAAAAATGTGCAAATGAAAAAAACAAAAGGGAGGGACTATCTTCAAAGCTCACCTGGAAGAGATAAGGGGAGCGTTCATGATCACCCAAGATGGACACCAACAGAGATACATTTTTGCCTGTTTTGTGGCACATATGAGCAGATTAAAGCAGCTTTGTTTTTCGTGTAACCCTAACCCTATCTCTGGAGTTTTAAATGGCAGAGAACAGATGGAAGAACCGGAGAAATATAAAAGTGTTTCAGATTTTGTATTGCTGGTTTGCACTTCCAGGCCACCGTAGTATTTTTAAGTGAGAAAGTTCACCTCCACAACCCTGACTGCAAGAACCAGAATAAACAATCAAATATTTTAACATTTCTAGTGAATTTGGGGATTTATATAGTGTTTCTCCATAGTTCATAAAAATGTTTTAGTGCAGCAATAATGATCAGAGAGGAGCTGCTCTGATTCCTTCTACGTAACAATCCATCTACCTTCTGCAGGTAGAGTCTGTCTCCCAAAGAAACTCCTGGAGCAGCTTTTCTGATTGGTTGACGCTCCGGCGTCCAGTGGCTAAAGTTTGATCAACTGAACTCCAGCGTTGATGCTGGATGTCTGGACGCCGTCCCCCATAGACTCTGGATGGGATTCAGATGCTTTGACGCCTTTGATGAGAACGCAGCCCAAGATTGTCAATAAATATTAAAAAACAAAAAAAAAAACATTTTTTAAATTGAAATGTAGAGAAAATGGTCATCATATAATCCAGAAATAAACGTTTGAAAAATGTTTAAAAAAGGGTTTTTTTTTCAATTTTTTATCTAAAATAATTTTTCTATTTTTTTTTATCCGTTTTTCAAATTTTATTTTAAGATTTTTTACAGTGTGATTTTTTTTCTATTTCTTTTTTTCAGATCTAGTTTTATAAATTTGTTTTCTAGATCCCATCATCTTCCCTTCCAGCCCATTTACTCTCGACTACGGCTGCAACTAACTATTATTCTGCAAATTGATTCATCTGTCAATTATTTTTTCAATTAATCGATAAATAATCGGAGAGCAAAAGGTTTTTTACAGAATTAAACCAGGTCAAACTAAAACTTTTCCAACTTGTTAAGTTGGAGCAGATTGAAGAGATTACATTTTTTTTGTCTTAAATGCAAAATGTTTATATATATTTTTATTTTTTCTGTCAGCCAAAGGCTGTTTCAGACTCTCTAAACTCCAGTTAAAGATTATTCGATTAATAGATTAGTTGATGATATTTCAATAATTGATGTCGTTAGCAGCATCTACGCAAGGATGGGTCGACTGGCGCCCAGCCATCATTACTGATGTGGGGGAGGGGCAGCCCAGCTGTCATTCTCCACAGCGAAACCGGCCCCTGCTTCACGCCACTGACCATCTGCAGAACGTTGGAGAACAGAGCTTGGTGCTCATCAGAACCAGGATGGCGACCAGAACCGGGCCTGAGCTCTGAGATCGACCCGTTCTGGACACCCAGAGGCTGGATTTCATGAAGGGACGGGAGCTCCTGGTTTTGATGCTCCGCCTCCTCCTGCCAATGATGATGATGATGATGATGAAGAGGCTGAAGTCGAATGTCATAAATCCATTTTAATGGAAAATGTAAAACCTTTTGAACTTCGATGTACAAAGAACGTAACACTTCAAAATGTAAAATGGAAACGAGGCGTTTTATAAAAATACTTCACTTCATGTATATATGTATATATTTACACTTTATAGTTCACTTCTTAATTATTTTAACCTTTAAACCTCAAAAGTTCACAATAGTAAATCTTATCAAAAGCAAGACAATTCTTTTCTTAAATAAATTACATCTTTTTTTGTAAATGTCAAAACTTTACAGCGATTAGTTTGTTTCATAAATGCTGCAGATTTTTTACAGAATACTTTACAGTCTGAGCGACAGTTTGGCAGTTCACTTTCAGAAAATAGATTTATGGCGTGAGGACTGGAGAGCGTGTGCGTCCTCCATCACAGTAGAGATCATCAGAACGGAGAGGAACCAACATCCACTCAGCATTTCCTCCTGGTGACATCATCAGAGCGGGAACATCTCAGCACAAACGACGCGGTTATGAGGAGTTAGGAGCGGATGGGCGAGGAAAGCAGCAGCCGGCTGAAGCTGCTCGCTTTCTCCCCTCCTGGGTTTCCTGAAAGTTTCTCTCCTGATGCTGGTGATGCTGCTGAGATCTTCCTTCCCTGACCCGTGGCGCTCCGCTACCGGAGCTGCGTCCACCGCCATGCCGCCTCACGGCCGGTCCGTCCGTGCAGAAAGCAAAGAGCTCTGGTCCTGAGTTTGGCTCAGAGAAGGTCGACCCGGCCGTGTTTTTAGCGGATCCCGTTTGTCTGACGCTGCGGTCATGAGAGCGCTCTGAGCAGACCACCTTTAGCGCGTGATGAGGAGGGTGAGGATGAGCACAGCACGACGGGCGTACAATAGGTGTCATGAATTCTCCTTCTTGAGATCTTTGTCAGTGCTACTCCTCTTCAGAGAGCTCACCACCTCCTTCACACTGTGGTACAAGATGTTCTTCACCTGAAATTGGAACAGATTGAAAGTTAAACACTGAAAAATGTCAAACATCCATTTTCTAAAGTGATGAAGCTGTTTTTGACCAGTGATCAGCTTTCTTTCTGTTCCTGCCTCAGTGATGAAGATCAGAAAAGCTCCTATTAAAGGCACTCTGGCACCATCTAGTGGTCACACTGTGATCCGCGTTTCCGTAGAGAAGCTACTCTCAGATTTCTCTCTGCTAGTTTGAAGTGTTGCTGCTGGTCTGGAATGATTTGATCCAACGTTTAGGTCTAGTTAGTGTCTCTGGGTTCAATTATAAATCCTTCAATTAACCTGATTAATCAAACCAAGATAAAATCCAACAAGAGTATTATATACTCTATAGTTATGCTGCTATAGGTTTAGACTATAGCAGGACAACTTTTTTCTTTTTTTTTTTCAATGCTTTTTTGTACTATATACTCTCTTTTTATATTGTCATATTTTTTATCTTTAATGGCATCTTGGTTTAACTCTTTGTGCTCTATAGAAGCTACTGGAACCAGAATTTCCCTGAAGGACTAATCCCAAAGGATTAATAAAACTGAGTCTGTGTTCGAATTCATGGGCTGCATCTTCCAAGGACCTGGTCTACCTGGACTGAAACCTTCCAGGTCCTTGAAAATAAGGAGACCAGAAGAGTTTTAGCTGTGAATTCAAACAGGACTATCCTTTCACAGCTTTTAGCAACTGTGAGAGTTGACACACAAAGCAGGAAGAGAATAAATACCCAACTTTTCAAAACTGTTTCTTTTTAGTTAATTTTTTTTTTTTTTTTTTTTTTTTTTTTATGTTAAAGTGATAAAGGCCTATCCAGAGTGGAATAAAGGAGCCAACCAACGGGAGCATGAACAAATATAAGCAAATGATAGAAAAGGGTAGAAAGTAAGAAGTAAATCTAAACATGTATTTAAAGAAAATCTGCAAAATCTCTTATATTCAACAACAAAAAATATTTAGTTAAGCAAATGTTGTAAAATTGCAGGTAAAAAATTAAAACTCCTATCAGATTTATAGTCCCCATCCTGCAGATATATTAGAATCTGTCCTTAAATTACAGCCAAACCCATTTCCACAGTAACAGATAAAAACCTTTAGATAAACCAAACATTACCGCCACATACACTATATTGCCAAAAGTATTTGCTCACCCATCCAAATTATTGGAATCAGGTGTTCCAATCACTTCCATGGCCACAGGTGTATAAATTCAAGCACCTAGGCATGCAGACTGTTTTTACAAACATTTGTGAAAGAATGGGTCGCTCTCAGGAGCTCAGTGAATTCCAGCGTGGAACTGTGATAGGATGCCACCTGTGCAACAAATCCAGTCGTGAAATTTCCTCGCTCCTAAATATTCCACAGTCAACTGTCAGCTGTATTATAAGAAAATGGAAGTGTTTGGGAACGACAGCAACTCAGCCACGAAGTGGTAGGCCACGTAAACTGACGGAGCGGGGTCAGCGGATGCTGACGCGCATAGTGCGAAGAGGTCGCCAACTTTCTGCAGAGTCAATCACTACAGACCTCCAAACTTCATGTGGCCTTCAGATTAGCTCAAGAACAGTGCGCAGAGAGCTTCACGGAATGGGTTTCCATGGTCGAGCAGCTGCATCCAAGCCATACATCACCAAGTGCAATGCAAAGCGTCGGATGCGGTGGTGTAAAGCACGCCGCCACTGGACTCTAGAGCAGTGGAGACGCGTTCTCTGGAGTGACGAATCGCGCTTCTCCATCTGGCAATCTGATGGACGGGTCTGGGTTTGGCGGTTGCCAGGAGAACGGTACTTGTCTGACTGCATTGTGCCAAGTGTAAAGTTTGTTGGAGGGGGGATTATGGTGTGGGGTTGTTTTTCAGGAGCTGGGCTTGGCCCCTTAGTTCCAGTGAAAGGAACTCTGAATGCTTCAGCATCCCAAGACATTTTGGACAATTCCATGCTCCCAACTTTGTGGGAACAGTTTGGAGCTGGCCCCTTCCTCTTCCAACATGACTGTGCACCAGTGCACAAAGCAAGGTCCATAAAGACATGGATGACAGAGTCTGGTGTGGATGAACTTGACTGGCCTGCACAGAGTCCTGACCTCAACCCGATAGAACACCTTTGGGATGAATTAGAGCGGAGACTGAGAGCCAGGCCTTCTCGTCCAACATCAGTGTGCAACCTCACAAATGCGCTTCTGGAAGAATGGTCAAAAATTCCCATAAACACACTCCTAAACCTTGTGGACAGCCTTCCCAGAAGAGTTGAAGCTGTTCTAGCTGCAAAGGGTGGACCGACGTCATATTGAACCCTATGGATTAGGAACGGGATGTCACTTAAGCTCATATGTGAGTCAAGGCAGGTGAGCAAATACTTTTGGCAATATAGTGTATCTGACTCAATAACCATTAAAACAGCTATTTTAATTCATTTTTGAACTATTCACAGACTGGATTATATTAAACTGAACTTCCAATTTTCACCACTGTTCGGCGCCATTTCCCTTTTTCCTCTAATCACGGAGCAGCCGGCTTGGACTCACGATGAATCCTGGGAAAACCAAGGATACGGAGGATACAACGGACCCGTCATTCAAATTGGGCAGAAAGAAGGATGCATTTTAAGGCTGCATAATGAGGAGTCCTGGAATCTGACCAGACCCCGGCGCCGCGCTATGACGTAATCAGCCTTCGAATCTGGCATTCTGACGATGCAGCCCAGGAATTTGAACAGAGCCAGCGTCTACGTTTGGGGCCAGAAGGTTTTCTACTGCGGTGGAGAAATAAAGTCTCCTGGGAAACTGAGGAACATCAGAGATGAACATCAGGTCCTGAAAGGTTCTGGAACGTCGTCCAAACAGCTCAAACCAAACGCTTGCTGACCTCTGGGCTGTTGGAGCTTCATTGGTCTGAACCGCTCTGATTGGCTGCTCCAAGCCTGCACACACCCTTCACTGCACTGGTTAGTGGAAGGTTTTCGACCATCTTGGAGCCTGGTTCTGCCTCTCCAACCTCCCTCACTGGCAAACAGCAGATGAACTTTGCCCTCCATCAGTGTCTGAATGGGAAGATCCCCGTCGCCACAGATGTAATGAAGCGAGAGACATTAGCAGAGCTCCATTATCGCTGGACGGAGGTCGCCCTGCTGGGACGCACACTTTCACACACGCTGCCTCTGAGGCTCACTGTGAAACTTTCACCTCTACTGTCACATGATCATCTGCATACAGTCGTATTCAGTCAGGGTTCCAGTGAGGCCCGGTGGACAGACCAACAGAACCCTGGGAAAATAACAAGCTCTAAGTACGTCTGCTTTTCATCACACCCACATTTCTGCATCATTTAACTCTTTCCATCCGGTGAGTGGCGCCGACCGCCCACCATTGTTCTGCACAGTTTGCAAAGTCTGATCATGCTAACGCTATAAAAAGGTCCCAATTAGTATGATTGACATTAAACATTTAACTTTTCTGTCCCGAAAGCTGTTATCTCCAAAGCGCCAATTCACATCCTGTCATCTCAACTTTATAGATCCAGTTCACCAGATCATCCAGTCAGATTGATTCAAAGTTTTCTATCTAAGGAAAGCCAGTTGATTGCATCGACTCATTGACTCTTCAACAATCCCTAACACTAAGCATGCTTGTAGCGACAGTGGAGAGGAAAAACTTCATTTGAACAGGAAGAAACCTCCAGCAGAAATGTGTTTTTTTGATGACTTTTTATCATGTCATATGTTTACTGTTGGCCAACATTGAGCCACATGGTTCGCTATGCTAACAGTCTGAGCTGCTGTTTATTAGGCTAGAAAGAACCATATTTCACTAGGGGTTTAAATACTAAAATAACATAACCTCATATTCTCATTCAAATTCGATTACCAAATTATGACCATTACACAAATCCAGGCTTACACTGGTTAATACATTTGATTTGTGTGATTCTGATGTCAGCTTATTACAGAAGAAAGTATTCAATGTGAATATTTTCAATTCAGTTTATTGATATGGTGCCATTTCATAACACAATTTATCTCAAGGCACTTTACAGTTCAACCAGATCATTCATTCATTCACATCTAGGATGTGTTATCCAAGTGTTCCTTTTATTTTCTGATCAGTGGATATTAAAGCTGCTAACCAGTCTCTGACTAGTCACTAACCATTCTCTGACCAATCACTTACCAGTCCCTAACCAGTCCCTAACCAGTCCCTGACCAGTCGCTAACCAGTCCCTGAGCATTCCCTAACCAGTCGCTAACCAGTCCCTGAGCATTCCCTAACCAGTCGCTAACCACTCCCTGAGCAGTCCCTAACCAGTCGCTAACCAGTCCCTGAGCATTCCCTAACCAGTTCCTGAGCAGTCCCTGAGCATTCCCTAACCAGTCGCTAACCAGTCCCTGAGCATTCCCTAACCAGTCGCTAACCACTCCCTGAGCAGTCCCTAACCAGTCGCTAACCAGTCCCTGAGCATTCCCTAACCAGTCGCTAACCAGTCCCTGAGCATTCCCTAACCAGTCCCTGAGCAGTCCCTGAGCATTCCCTAACCAGTCGCTAACCAGTCCCTGAGCATTCCCTAACCAGTCGCTAACCAGTCCCTGAGCATTCCCTAACCAGTCGCTAACCACTCCCTGAGCAGTCCCTAACCAGTCGCTAACCAGTCCCTGAGCATTCCCTAACCAGTCGCTAACCAGTCCCTGAGCATTCCCTAACCAGTCCCTGAGCAGTCCCTGAGCATTCCATAACCAGTCGCTAACCAGTCCCTGAGCAGTCCCTAACCAGTCGCTAACCAGTCCCTGAGCATTCCCTAACCAGTCGCTAACCAGTCCCTGAGCATTCCCTAACCAGTCGCTAACCACTCCCTGAGCAGTCCCTAACCAGTCGCTAACCAGTCCCTAACCAGTTTCTGAGCAGTCCCTGAGCATTCCCTAACCAGTCGCTAACCAGTCGCTAACCAGTCCCTGAGCATTCCCTAACCAGTCGCTAACCAGTCCCTGAGCATTCCCTAACCAGTCCCTGAGCAGTCCCTGAGCATTCCCTAACCAGTCGCTAACCAGTCCCTGAGCATTTCCTAACCAGTCGCTAACCAGTCCCTGAGCATTCCCTAACCAGTCGCTAACCACTCCCTGAGCAGTCCCTAACCAGTCGCTAACCAGTCCCTGAGCATTCCCTAACCAGTCGCTAACCAGTCGCTAACCAGTCCCTGAGCATTCCCTAACCAGTCGCTAACCACTCCCTGAGCAGTCCCTAACCAGTCGCTAACCAGTCCCTGAGCATTCCCTAACCAGTCCCTGAGCAGTCCCTGAGCATTCCCTAACCAGTCGCTAACCAGTCCCTGAGCATTCCCTAACCAGTCGCTAACCACTCCCTGAGCAGTCCCTAACCAATCGCTAACCAGTCCCTGAGCATTCCCTAACCAGTCGCTAACCAGTCCCTGAGCATTCCCTAACCAGTCCCTGAGCAGTCCCTGAGCATTCCCTAACCAGTCGCTAACCACTCCCTGAGCAGTCCCTAACCAGTCGCTAACCAGTCCCTGAGCATTCCCTAACCAGTCGCTAACCAGTCCCTGAGCATTCCCTAACCAGTCGCTAACCAGTCCCTGAGCATTCCCTAACCAGTCGCTAACCACTCCCTGAGCAGTCCCTAACCAGTCGCTAACCAGTCCCTGAGCATTCCCTAACCAGTCGCTAACCAGTCGCTAACCAGTCCCTGAGCATTCCCTAACCAGTTGCTAACCACTCCCTGAGCAGTCCCTAACCAGTCGCTAACCAGCCCCTGAGCATTCCCTAACCAGTCCCTGAGCAGTCCCTGAGCATTCCCTAACCAGTCGCTAACCAGTCGCTAACCAGTCCCTGAGCATTCCCTAACCAGTCGCTAACCACTCCCTGAGCAGTCCCTAACCAGTCGCTAACCAGTCCCTGAGCATTCCCTAACCAGTCGCTAACCAGTCCCTGAGCATTCCCTAACCAGTCCCTGAGCAGTCCCTGAGCATTCCCTAACCAGTCGCTAACCAGTCCCTGACCAGTAGGCCACTGGGGCTCCTACCTGCAGCTTGTCCTCGTAGTTGACCTCGTCCTTGCTGCTCCGCAGCTCCTGGGTCAGCAGGAAGGACCTGGACACGTGCTCAGGGGACACAAAGTCGTTGATGACTTGGACACAGCTGTGGAGATTCTGAACCTAATGGAACAAGAAGAGGACAAAGATCTGACTGCTGCAGAGATGATCACACACTTTGTTTAGGTCTTTGCTGGTAGGTCTCCATGTTGGAGAAGCCTTTGTTGGTCCACAGCCTGTTTCTGAGAGGTTCCGTCCTCACCTGGTGCATGGCTCCGGCTGGGATGAGGACAGAGTCTCCCAGGAACTGGACCACAGTCCAGCCTTGAACTCCATGCTCTTCCAGCAGTCGCTGGCGCTGCTTCCTGCTGAGGTACCATCCCTGCTCTCTGATTGGGTCCTGATCCAGACACACATTCAGGCCTTGCTCCTTACAAAGCTACAACAGCAGAAAGTCAGAGGAAGGTAGAAGTTTGTCTTCAGGTATGATGAGACCACTACTGAATCCACAGACGATCCTTCTGGAGACGCCACAGACACCACATTCCTCACCAACCTTGTGCAGAAATTCTTGGACTTTGTCCATGTCTCTGCTGAGGTAGATGTGCCAAAGTGCTCCAGGTGTTTCGCTGGAGTCCTTCAGCCTCCTTCGAACGCCCTCATCTAAATCCTCCTCCTCCAGACGCTTCAGCACTCCTGCAGACAGAAAGTCACATTACCCAAACGGCTATGAGGAAAGCAGCTTGTCTCCATCATGCATCCTTCTGGTTCTGTTGTTTAATGTTTTAGAACCAGACAGAGAACCTTCTAGTTCCTCCAGTAATGGTTAGAACCAGACAGAGAACCTTCTAGATCCTCCAGTAATGGTTAGAATCAGACAGAGAACTTTCTAGGTTCTCCAATAATGGTTAGAACCAGACAGAGAACCTTCTAGTTCCTCCAATAATGGTTAGAACCAGACAGAGAACCTTCTAGTTCCTCCAGTAATGGTTAGAACCAGACAGAAAACCTTCTTGTTCCTCCAATAATGGTTAGAACCAGATAGAGAACCTTCTAGTTCCTCCAGTAATGGTTAGAACCAGACAGAGAACCTTCTAGTTCCTCCAGTAATGGTTAGAACCAGACAGAAAACCTTCTAGTTCCTCAAATAATGGTTAGAACCAGACAGAAAACCTTCTAGTTCCTCCAATAATGGTTAGAACCAGATATACAGGTGCTGGTCATAAAATTAGAATATCATGAAAAAGTAGATTGATTTCAGTAATTCCATTTAAAAAGTGAAACTTGTATATTACATACAAACTCATATATTTCAGATGTTTATTTTGTTTAATTTTGATGATTACAAATGACAACAAATGAAAATCTCAAATTCATCATATCAGAAAATTAGAATATTGTGAAAAGGTTCAAAATTGATGGCCCCTGGTGCCACACTCTAATCAGCTAATTAACTCAAACCACCTGCAAAAGCCTTTAAATGGTCTTTCAGTCTAGTTCTATAGGCTACACAATCATGGGGAACACTGCTGACTTGACAGTTGTCCAAAAGACGACCATCGACACCTTGCACAAGGAGGGCAAGACACAAAAGGTCATCGCTAAAGAGGCTGGCTGTTCACAGAGCTCAGTGTCCAAGCACATTAATAGAGAGGCGAAGGGAAGGAAAAGATGTGGTCGAAAAAAGTGTACAAGGAAGAGAGATAACCGCACCCTGGAGAGGATTGTGAAACAAAACCCATTCAAAAATGTGGGGGAGATTCACAAAGAGTGGACTGCAGCTGGAGTGAGTGCTTCAAGAACCACCACACACAGACGTATGAAAGACATGGGTTTCTGCTGTCGCATTCCTTGTGTCAAGCCACTCTTGAACCACAGACAGCGTCAGAAGCGTCTTGCCTGGGCTAAAGAGAAACAGGACTGGACTGCTGGTGAGTGGTCCAAAGTCATGTTCTCTGATGAAAGTAAATTTTGCATTTCCTTTGGAAATCAAGGTCCCAGAGTCTGGAGGAAAAGAAGAGAGGCACTTCATCCACGTTGCTTGAAGTCCAGTGTAAAGTTTCCACAGTCAGTGATGGTTTGGGGTGCCATGTCATCTGCTGGTGTTGGTCCATTGTGTTTTCTGAGGTCCAGGGTCAACGCAGCCACATACCAGGAAGTTTTAGAGCACTTCATGCTTCCTGCAGCTGACCAACTTTTTGGAGATGCAGATTTCATTTTCCAACAGGACTTGGCACCTGCACACAGTGCCAAAGCTACCAGTACCTGGTTGAAGGACCATGGTATCCCTGTTCTTAATTGGCCAGCAAACTCTCCTGACCTTAACCCCATAGAAAATGTATGGGGTATTGTGAAGAAGAAGATGCAATACACCAGACCCAACAATTCAGAAGAGCTAAAAGCCACTATTAGAGCAACCTGGGCTATCATAACACCTGAGCAGTGCCACAGACTGATCGACTCCATGCCACGCCGCATTGCTGCAGTAATACAGGCCAAAGGAGGCCCAACTAAATACTGAGTGCTGTACATGCTCATACTTTTCATGTTCATACTTTTCAGTTGGCCAACATTTCTATAAATCCTTTATTTTTATTGGTCTTCAGTAATATTCTAATTTTCTGATATGATGAATTTGAGATTTTCATTTGTTGTCATTTGTAATCATCAAAATTAAACAAAATAAACATCTGAAATATATGAGTTTGTATGTAATGTATGAATATAATATACAAGTTTCACTTTTTAAATGGAATTACTGAAATCAATCTACTTTTTCATGATATTCTAATTTTATGACCAGCACCTGTAGAACCTTCTAGTTCCTCCAGTAATGGTTAGAACCAGACAGAGAACCTTCTAGTTCCTCCAGTAATGGTTAGAACCAGACAGAAAACCTTCTAGTTCCTCCAGTAATGTTCTAGAACCAGACAGAGAACCTTCTAGATCCTCCAATAATGGTTAGAACCAGACAGAGAACCTTCTAGTTCCTCCAGTAATGGTTAGAACCAGACAGAGAACCTTCTAGATCCTCCAATAATGGTTAGAACCAGACAGAAAACCTTCTAGTTCCTCCAGTAATGTTCTAGAACCAGACAGAGAACCTTCTAGATCCTCCAATAATGGTTAGAACCAGACAGAGAACCTTCTAGTTCCTCCAGTAATGGTTAGAACCAGACAGAGAACCTTCTAGATCCTCCAATAATGGTTAGAACCAGACAGAAAACCTTCTAGTTCCTCCAGTAATGGTTAGAACCAGACAGAAACCCTTCTAGTTCCTCCAATAATGGTTAGAACCAGACAGAGAACCTTCTAGTTCCTCCAGTAATGGTTAGAACCAGACAGAGAACCTTCTAGATCCTCCAATAATGGTTAGAACCAGACAGAGAACCTTCTAGTTCCTCCAGTAATGGTTAGAACCAGACAGAAAACCTTCTAGATCCTCCAATAATGGTTAGAACCAGACAGAAAACCTTCTAGTTCCTCCAGTAATGGTTAGAACCAGACAGAGAACCTTCTAGTTCCTCTGGTAATGGTTAGAACCAGACAGAGAACCTTCTAGTTCCTCCAATAATGGTTAGAACCAGACAGAAAACCTTCTAGTTCCTCCAGTAATGGTTAGAACCAGACAGAAAACCTTCTAGTTCCTCCAGTAATGGTTAGAACCCGACATCAATCCTCAATCTATGCATGGTGTCTATTCTACTAATGATGATGAAATAACTGCAGCCTGTGATGTCAGCAGTCTACTGGGACCGTGTCCATGTTTTCTGGAACTGCCCATCATTATATAGAGATGTTTACGACTTGGTCAGAAGTACGAGGTGAGAGACTTGAACCCAAAGCTATATCTACTGTGGATCAGAGAAATGAACCAGAATCCAGCTCTTTGGTTCAAACTAATCACGTCAGAATAAAAAGACCTATTTCCTGGTTCTCTTAAAAACTTTTCCTTCTTCAACGTTTAATCGAGCCACTCCTCTCTCAGAATAAACAATCCAGGAGCAGGAAGGTTTACCGGTTTTGGAAAGGACTCCGTTTCCTTTAGCTACGCCGACGTAAACCAGGACCGACACCACATCGGACACTTCAACATGGAGGTTGGCCGTCCCAAAGTCCTGGTCCTGGGATGCAGCTACGCCTGAAGGGACACAAAACCTGCATCACAGCACTGAAGGCAGAGGGAGGAACATCCCTGAGGAACGCCTGACCAAGAGCTGCAGCTCTCAGCAGCTTCTCCTCTCACCGTATGCACAGCAGAGTCTGGGCCCCAGGTCAGGCCGGACGAAGAAGGACGGCAGGTGAGACGCCAGGTTCAGGCTCCCCTCTGGATCAGAGTATTCTGGCAGAGGAAGGTTCTTCATCAAGTCGTCGTACCTGAAACAAAAACAAACGTAGAAAAGATTTCCATCAAGGCGGAGGAATAAAAGGCCTGATCAGACCTTTAAGATAACTCCACAGGCTGATGACCTGAACAACAATTTATCAAGACAAACATTTAAATTGGATTATAATTTAAAGCTGAGACCAAAGGAAACAGAAACCAAGGAAGTTGGTCCTAAATGAGCCTAAAGAGGTGAGACGTTTACCTGGAGGGCATCAGAGCCATGAACTCCTCCCCAGACGGCCAGTCCTTCAGTCTGTAGACCATGGGTTCGCCGTCTTTGGACTTTGGCCGCTCTAAACGAGGAAACAGACTTCAGTTTAATCCAACAACAACCAGGGGGAGATCTGATGGAGCCAAACTTACTGGTTATGTCCTCAAATCCATCCCAGAACTCCTTTATTCCAGAGTTGGACACCACCTGGTCCTTGCAGTTGAGCAGGTCTCCCTGGTGGTCTTCAAACTCCTGGTTGAAGGAGTCTGCCTTCCACAGATTGGCGTTGAGCCTCTTATGGATCCCGGACACAAGAACAGGCTAGAAGTAGACAGGAGACGCCACGCCATGAGAGGTCTGCAGGCCCTGCTGAGGGCGGAGCTCCGACGCTCCGTCCTACACCTACCTGGCCTTGTTTCCAGCATTCCCTGAACAGCTTCCAGTTGTTCTGATTGCGGTGATCTTTGAGCCACAGCAGCCGCCTGTTGTCCAGCCAGAGGTGGGGGATGTCTGGGTACTGATGGGTCAGGTCCTCAGGTATGGCTGCGGGCGGAGCGGCCGGCCTCTTCCTCAGCGCCTTGTTCTCCTCCTGAGCGGGGGCTTGGCTGCCGTTGCTGCTGGGCGTCACTGACAGCTTGGCGGTGATGCTCTGGCGGGTGGCTGGGATTTTATTCTCCACCACTGAGGCTATGATGTCATCCAGGATGTTGGGCATGGAGCGGCCATCCTTCCCAGGCTGCAGGGGAAGATAAGCATGAAACGGACCTGCTGGAAGTCTAAAGCTTTAGCGGGGGGATGAAGGCTCTGCATACCTGTGCAGCGGTGGAGTAAACGGGAGCAAAGGCGATTCCAGCATCAGTAGATCCAAGCTTGAGCTTCCCTGCTGTGGTGGTGAGCAGGTCTCTGAGCGTGGAGCCCTGCTCGCTGCTGTTAGCCACCAGCGCCGGCGTTTTACATGCCTGCACTGCTTCCTCCCCATCCTTCTCCTCCTTCCCAGACTTGCCCGGCAGCACAGACTGCTTGTTTTCTGTTAGCAAAGAGGAGGCGGGAACAGCAGGAGGTGAACGACATGAAACCGAACCGACTCTCAAACATTTTCTCCTTCTTCTTTCTCACCTTTCTTCTCCTCCCTGGATTTCTGCTCTGCGAGGTCGGCCAGGAAGTGCAGAGGTGACTGAGACGCAGGCGGCGTGGCGGGGGTGCCGGCCTCGTCGCTCCTCGGGCTGCTCCCGTTGAATTCGGCCTTGGTTCCTCCGTCCATGGAGTCGGGCTCCGCTTTCACCAGAGACAGCTTGTTACTGTGGTTTAGAACGTTCTGCAGAACCTAGAGGAGGTAAACAGGAAGTAGATTTTGGTTTTCCTCACTGCACTGAAAATCTGCTGATTTATTCATCAACTGTTTGACACAGAGAGGAAACCATCGTCATAAAGAAACGTTTGGATTACAGGCCAGCAGAACTAAAACGGGTCACTGTCTCAGTGGGTAGCACTGCCGCCTTGAAGTTAGAAGGTTCCGGGTTTGATTCCCCGCCCAGGGTCTTTCTGCATGGAGTTTGCATGTTCTCCCTGAGCATGTGTGGGTTCTCTCCGGGTACTCCGGCTTCCTCCCACAGTCCAAAAACATGACTGTTAGGTTCATTGGCTTCTCTAAATTCTCCTTAGGTGTGAGTGTGTGTGAATGGTTGTTTGTCTCTGTGTTGCCCTGCGATGGACTGGAGACCTGTCCAGGGGGGGACCCCACCTCTCACCCAGAGACAGCTGGAGATAGTGGAGGACCACGCCTATTCAGCCAAGCCAAAAATCCCCTTTAACAACCGACCTTTCAGAGACATAGACAGGTATGGGGCATTGCAGGCTAACAACGAAGCCAAACGATCCGTTTGTCCATTTCAATTTGCATGTTTTCTAAACCAAAACAAGGCTTTGTTGGGCTACTGTACAAAACATGGAACTCAACGCTATTTCTAACATTTTGAATTGAAAAAGCTTCCTGGATGGAAGAGAAACGTCTTCAAACTTGGAAACAAAGTCCAGTGGATTGTTTTTATTTTTTTTTTGCAATGACCATGACCTGGATGACTGAGAACCTTCACCAGCATACAGAGTACAGGAGATGGGTACCAGCACCCCTCACTACCCCAGCTGAGATGAGACGGGACAGAAAATGGATGGATGGATCTAAAACATCTGCATCCTGAGGAAGAATCCTTTCAACAATTACTAATCTTCATCTACGGTCTGTGATGATTTAATTCTGTTTAGGTCCACTAGGTGGCGTTCATGACTTTATGTGAAAGCGTGATAGAGAGTCTGTGTGACACACCTGTGTGAAACCTGGCTGATGAGACCCATGAAAAAGGATCTTAATTAAAAGTGTCTGAGCGACGTAAGACGCCTGGTCATTATTAAACAGGAATAAAATCTGAGTTAGTCTGAGTTAAACTTGCTAACTAAGGCATAACTGTACGATTTTCGCCCTTTTTTGGGCCGATTCTCCAGCCGTGCAAGAATATGTTGGATCAGGCCAAGTTTCAGCCTGATGGTGCGTGGTGTAGTGTATAGGGGGTAACGAGGGGCAATCAGCCACTAACAACCCCATCAGGAATAAGAAGGTCGGGAGAAAATCAAACATGTTTGAAATTCAGTTTTCCCTCCTGACATGTTGGTGCGTAAATCCTGCTGCTGAGCTACAAGCTGATTGACCAGAAACTAGCTAACTGTGCATGTGCAAACAAGGGAGTTCTTAATCTCTTCTTCTTCCAGATTGGCGAGTCCGACCAGCGCCATCTCTCAGTGCCGAGTCTGACGTTTTGGACGTGATGGTGAGCTGTTTTATCGTACAGTTGGAGGCCTTATGTAGCCCAAACATTCAGCTAAATGTTTTCCCAACGCTACGGAGCTGAGGAAGTGGGCCGGACCGCAGTACCTGTGAGACTCCGTTGGTTGCCGGCAGTTTGGTCAGAAGGTTCTGTTTGCTGGAGCACGGGCAGTGGAAGGAGACGCCGCTCTTGTCTCTCAGGGCGTGCATGGACGTCACCAACTCTGTCAGCACTGCAGGAACCAGAGCAGAATTAAAGAGACTCTCAGGGAACATGCTGGATCAGAAGCGGTCTGCCTGCCTGGACCGTACCTTTCCCAGGGATGATCTGAGTGGGCATGAGGTGCTTATGGTCATGGGGTTGGCCTTTCACACACTTCAACCAGCCGTACAGCTCCTTGTCTGAAGGCAGAGGGAGGAGAAGCAGCGTTAGCGGGTCTGACAGCTGGAACGGCACTGAGCCAGCGGCCCGGAAACGTTGGGAGGAAAGTTTTCCTCAGCTGAACCAGCTGTGCGACCAGTAAGCAGCCAACCTTTGCAGCTGCGCCGCTCCTTGGCTTTGTAGCAGTCCAGGCAGACCACGAAGCCGCACTTCTGGCAGACCCAGTGGATGTTGAAGAGCGTCGCTTCACAAGCGTCACACATTTCTCTGACCCCTCGCACCGCCCGCTTCCACGCTGGTTTGGCTGAAATTCATTGGGGGAAAAAAATCAGAAAATGAAGAAAACAGATTTTTCAGATACATGAACAAACAAAGAGCTAAATCATTTCTTAGAGGAATGTAGATCTTCAGTTGATCAACAACAGATCCAGGTTAACCATCCTTCCCTTAGACGTGGATCCGGTGTAAACGGTTTCTAACAGAACCCTGTTTAGACACGGGCCGTAAAAATCCTCTCATTCTGTTTGCTCCGTCCTCTTATGTCACCAAGCATAAAAATCATTATTATACAGATTATTGTTATTATTACTGACAGCAGAAACCAAAACATACGAATAATATCATCATCATTATTATCAGCAGCAACCAGCGCTGGGCGATATATCGAATAAACTCGATCTATCTCCAGTTTCCTCACGCACAATAGTTAAAATGACTCCACCCTACAAATGGAGCCGTGTCCCTGAAACACACCGTGGCGTGTGGAGCCTTCAGTAGGAGGAGCTTCCAACTGTCTGCAGACGTCTGCTTTCCTCTGAACCGTTTCTATTCAAGCTCTGACGCCAAACGCCGAGCTCTGATGTCAGACTTCTTACTGCTAACTAGGGGTGGGCCATATATCGAATAAACTCGACATATCTCATGTTTCCTCCCACACAACAGGTAAAATGACTCCATCGCAACCATCAAGTACAAGCATGGCGACATTAAGCCGCCTGCATCCATTTCACTGAGTTTTATTTTTCCCACACCCTTTAAATGCATCATAAACCCCTCCTCCAAACAGGATTATTTTCACGCCCACTAGAGCAACCTGCAAACTAAACATGGCGACAGCAGGTGATTCAGCTGAGCGATAAACGCAGCGGTTTGGATTTCACGCCGAGGACGTCCAACAAAAGGCGCTAATTTTTAAGACGTGCCGCAAAAACCATGGCTGCAAACGGAAGCAGTACAGATTTATTCCACCATCCAGTGTAAACTCTGCATGTCAGCGTCTCCCCGCCCACCAATTAAAACGTTCAATCAATCAGCTGTGAAGCCGATGGCGTCGTTTGAAAAGGCGATCCCGTATGAGAGAAACAGGAAGAGATGGAGGGAAATCACAGACGTCATTTATTACTTTATTGAAATGTTTTTTAGATGCTCTAAAAGCTGTGATGGGATCAAAGGTTTTACAGACGTTTTCTAACATTTCTAATTTCATTCTGCATTTTTATTTTTAGATTATGCACAAATGAGCCCTTTTTATTTTGCATTTTATTTATTATTGTGTGTTTTTGCTTTGCTTCCTGTTTGGTTGCTGGGATCTTATTAAAGGTCTAATTCTGACACCCAAAGACATCATGGGGCAGAAAAGCTTTCAGCTGGTTAAAATTAAATTAAAATTTAAAAACAAAAGGTTTGAGTAAATCAGTGCAGTTTTCAGCACTTTTGTTTTTAAAAGTAATTTAAACATATGGTGATATATATCGTTTATTGCGATTATAGCCCAAATACATTGTGATGTTAGATTGTCTTCATATCGCCCCGCCCTAGGAACAACAGCAACATAATAGTCAAGTTAATTATTCCCTTTAATAATGGCAAAAAACAATAGAATTTCTATTATAATAACCATTACCATCATTATTTGTCATATCAAGTGAAACATAATATTCTTTAATAATTATATCAATGATCAACATTATTATGAAGTTTCTGTTAATAATAAAAGATTAAAAACTGATCAGAGGTTTTCTGCTTCTTTCTTTTGATCATCAGTGTCTCTACAGCAGAGGATATGACCTCTAGTGGCCAAGCAGAGGTACTGCAGGGTTGGATGGTTTTGCTGGATTAAAATGGAAACCAGTAATCCATCATTCTCCCCCCTCCCCCGTCAGTCTGAACCGTCTCACCGTCCTTCTTGATCCAGCTGGCTGCGGCGTTCTCAGTCGTCACCATCTGACAGAACTTGTCTCCAGTGAAACTGAGGATGTACCTCGCCGTGGCCTGGTCCAGCCGGCTCTCCTCCATGGACCCAGGGACCCATAAGGCCAGAGCCTCGTCATCAAACTGCTCTGGAGCGGAGAAGCCATCCATTCGAATGACTCCGTTTTTGCTGTAGGAGAGCCTGGAATAAAAAGAGGTTGATGAAGGAAGAGGGACAGGAAGCCACGGACGAGCTCCATGGACCGCCGTTACAGTGATGGAGCCATTTGAAGGTCATCAACATGGTGGAAGCTATCAGAATGATTCTGGACTGGGGAGAAAAAAGGTAATTTACCGTCTGAAATAGTAGAATCGACAGAAGACGGGGGAATGTGCTGGCTCCGCCCCCTTCTTACTGCGGACCACCCGGCACTCCCGGCACTTCTGGAGGTTCGGTCCAATTTCTGAGCACGAGTCGTCCTGCAGGAAGGACTCTCCTGTCTGCTTGAGCTTCTTGACCTTCCTCCAGTCCTTCAGCACGGAGCGAGGGATGCCATCTGAGGACAGGAGCAGCCAACCGGATCAGAACCAGAGACACAGCAGCGGGCAGATTAAGCCCCACTCAATCAGACTATGAAGGGAACTCATTTTCACATGCATCACATCAAATTATTTTCTGTTTTCAGATCCAGTTTAGAGAGTTATATCACATACCCATTTACAAAACAACTTCTTTGCAACAATATTGGAACAAAATTCACTCCATATGAATCTGGGGAAACTTCTTGGGGTTTAAAGAAAAGATGTTTTATATAAAAACATATTCTATAAAGCACCAGGAGGGCAGGAAGCGTTAGACCCAGCAGAGCATTGGCTGACCTTCACCCCGACCATCACGTTCCTCCGCAGCGCCTCCTTTATGGAGTTGGGGTGAATTTAAAGACTCAAACATCTTGTTAGCAGATGCTACCCTACAGAGACCCCGATGGAGCGCTCCAGAAACGCCGCAGGTCTGAACCGGTTCTGTTGACGACCAGGAAGGCTGTGTCGTAACTCTAGGGCAGTGATTTTCAACCAGTGTGTTGTGATAGATGGTCAGGTGTGCTGCAGGAAATGATCTAATATCATCTAATTAACCATTTGCCGGGTGTCTGTGATGTCATTAAGTGTGGCAAATGATGTAATACTCTTCTATTTCAGTGGGGGGCAGCAGAGGGACATAAACGCCTGTAAAGACAACAGAGTGACACAGGGTTTATAGAGGAATGAGAGACACTAAATGCTTTTTAATGCTCTTAGAAATAATCTTTTTTTTTCCAACTTTGCTTTTATTAAACTTTTTCTTGCAGAGCAGAAACCACTGGAGCCGCGGCAAATTCAGGCCTAACATAATAAACAACATACACAGAACAAAGAAGTAAATTAAACAAATAAACAAAAGAGGAAAAACAAAACAACAACAAAACAAAGCTCAAATGGAATGATACCAGTCACATTTTGTTTCCACTGGTTTGTCAGTGATCCTCAAGGCCAAGATACATTTCGGTGCGCAGAGCAGCAGAATGTGTAAAAGGTCTCTTTCACGAAAACCAACTGGCAGGTCATCCTCAAGTCCTAATATGCAAGTCCTTACACTCGGATGTAGATGACACTTGAAAATCAGACTTAACTGTCGAATAATTATACTCCAAATCTGTTGGATATGAGATCAGCTCCATAAACGATGAATAAATGAACCTGTATCAGAATGACATTTATTACAGAGCTCTAATACATTTGGATTAAATGTGTGTCTGTCTACAGGAGTGATAAAAAGCCTGTGCTAAATCAGGACCCTAGAGGGCTGTCCTCACAGAGCATCCCAGTTCTCAAACTTTACTGTACCTAAGTCAGATTCCCATTTGCTTTTTACTTTAAGAGAATTATCTACTTTAAGATTAAAGAGTATCTGATTTAAGTTGCCTACTATTTAGCAATAGGGATTCTATGGGAGACATAGCAAGGCCAGCCGTTTAGTCCTTTGAGTTAGACAAAATAAAGTTACGAACTTGCAGAAATATGATAAAGTCTTTATCTTTGATCCCTATTTGCTTTTTGCTTGTTGAAATGTAAGGATTGAGCCTTCCTGGATCACGTCCCCAACGACTCTAATACCCTGATCCTTCCAGTCAGCAAGGCCGCCCCGCAGCCCAGGATGCAAGTCAGGGTTATCGTGAATGGGAGTCAGCAAAGAGAAGCAATTACTGTACCCCTCCACATGCCGGACCTTATGCCAAATGTTTAACATATTCTTTAAAATCCCTTTACCTTTCACTAATGTTCCCACCTTGCCAGGAGAGGTATATAATAAATTCAGTAAGAGGATTTTATTCAAGGACCATTCTAAAAGAAACTTAAATTGTGCCGCGCACAAATAATACAACAGAGAGGGGGCTGGTAAGCCACCATTCTTAATAGGTAGGCAACAGAAGATGTATCTCAACCTGGTTCTTTTTCTACACCAGATAAATGAAACAATAGCACTTTTGAATTCTGAAGAACTTTCTTTCATAACATAACTGGCAGCATCTAAAAGTAATACAGGAGGCGTGGAAGAATGTTAATTTTAATCAAATAAATTCAACCTAGAAGGGACAGAGGCAGAGCACACCATCTATCCAGGTCCTGTTTTATAGTTTGCAAGAGAGGGGAAATATTTAATTTATACAGATTGTTTAAGCACGGCAAAAAAGATCTGCTGGAGACCAGCGGAACGGCTGTGAGATATTTGGGACTAATGTATGTGAGCGACATAGGCTTCACTTTTAGAAAAGTTTGTTTTGTACCCGGAAAAATTGCAAAAATTGTGAATCAGCCGAGTTAATCTAGGGATAGAATATGTAGGGGAGCTAAAAAAAAAACAGAACGTCATCAGCATACAGCAAGCTTTTATGCTCCTGATTATTCAAAGAAAAATTCCTCTAATACTAATATCTTGTCGACAGCTAGAGGTTCTATAGCTAGTGCAAATAATAAAGGGCTCAGGGAATAGCCCTGCCGTGTACCCCTCTCAATAGTAAAATAACCAGACCTGAGTCCGTTTGTAATTACAGCTGATAATGGTGATGTGTATAGAATCTGAAACCATTTAATAAAAACCTCACCTTGAGTGTAAAAAATAAGTAAGGCCACTAAACCCTGTCAAATACCTTCTCTGCATCAAGAGAAATAACTAGGGCTGTATTGTACAGGGAAGAATGCTGAATAATGTTAAGCAGGCGTCTCACATTATGTGATGAAAACCTTCCCCGAATGAAACTAGTCTGATCATTCCTAAGAATAGAGGGGAGAACATTTCCCAGACGTGAGGCTAGAACCTTTGCAAGCAGCTTCAGATCCAAATTTAGAACCGATATAGGCCTGTATGAAGAGCACTCTGCAGGTTCTTTCCCCTTTTTTAGTACTAAAGAAATATTAGCCTCCATAAGAGATGCTGGGAGGGCCCCAGCTGCAAAAGAGGAAACATTTCCAGTAAAGGGTCGACTAGAACAACATTAAACTTTTTATAAAGTTCTACATTGAGTCCATCAGGACCTGGAGCTTTGTTGTTAGGGAGTTGCTGAATATGATTCTTAATTTGACTCAGAGATGGTGGCTTATACGGGTCGTCCCTCTGCTCACCTGTCATTTTTGGTAAATTCAACTTTTGTAAAAAAAAAGTTCGACATATCTTGCTCTGAGAGTGGGTTCTGAGAGGAATATAACTGTTTGTAAAACTTTTGAAAAGAGTCATTTTTTTATTATCATAATTACAGACACCAGCTGAATCTCTGATATGTGAAATATTCTGTGTTGGAGCCCTATTTTGGACAACGTTGGCCAAATATCGATTAGGCTTGTTAGCAAACTCATACATCCTTTGCTTCATAAAGAACATTGATTTTTCTGTTTTATGCTGTTTTAACCACTTCTAAGTCAATTCTTAGCTCTTCAGGTGGAGATAAATAGTTTTTAGACTGAAGATCATGCAGTTCAAGCTCAAGTCTAGCAGTGTAGGATATAATCAGACCACGGACGTAGGCTTTCATGGCACCCCATAGAAGGCAAGAGGAAACATCAGGACTCTTGTTCTCTTTAAAAAAATAGTCCAACTCTTCTTTCAAACATTTCTCAAAGTTAGGATCATGGTTCAGGAAGCTGCTGTATCTCCATGGTCGGCTTTGACATGTTGGATTCACATTGTTTTAGTTTATGTAGATGATCTGGGGCATGATCTGAAACAATGATGACAGCAATAGTAGAGCTTTCAACATAGTGAAATTTTAGGGGTGACAAAAAGTGAATTCTACTACTCTATTTGTGTACTGTGGAGTGAAATATAAATGCTTTATCGTTAGGATGTAAAACCCGCCAGGTGTCCACAAGACCAAGTTCACTGCATGTTCTGATATCGCCTTAGCTCTACTAGAAAGCGAGTTCCAAGTGGAAGGCGATTTGTCCATCACTGGAGATAAATAGCAGTTAAAGTCTCCAGCTATGACAGTATTCTCCCCGATCCAATCAGCAAATGAGGAGAACACTTGTGAGATGAAGTCATTTGACTGCACTGGCTGTGCAAAGATGCCTCTGAAACAATACAGCACATAACAGCAGGGTGTAAAATGCAGGCAGGAAGTGCACACATGGAACGCCACAACCAGGTAGCTGTCATAGTGTACAGGAACATCTGCCATGAGTATGGGCTGGAAGTCCCAAGGTCAAAATGGAAGACACCTCCTAAGGTAGTTGAGAATGACCGAGCTAAGATCCTAATGGACTTCAAGATCCAGACTGACAAACAGGTGATGGTTAACCAACCAGACATCGTGTTGATGGACAAGCAGCAGAAGAAGGCAGTAGTGATAGATGTGGCAATCCCAAGCGACAGCAACATCAAGAAGAAAGAACACGAGAAGCTTGAGAAATACCAAGGACTGAAGGAGGAGCTAGAAAAGATGTGGAAAGTGAGAGCAGCAGTGGTGCCAGTGGTAATGGGAGCACTGGGGGCTGTGACCCCCAAACTGGGAGATTGGCTACAGCAGATTCCAGGTAAAACATCAGAGGTCTCTGTCCAGAAGAGCGCAGTCCTAGGAACAGCTAAGATACTGCGCAGAACCCTCAAACTCCCAGGCCTCTGGTAGAGGACCCGAGCTTGAGGATGACACATACCACCCCACGAGGGGTGAGAAAACAGTTTTTTTTTTATATGTATAAATGTACTGCAGATATGTCCCTAATTCCTGGTTTTCCAGCCACTGTTGTTGAAATTTGTGCATTTTTCCATTCTCTAGCTTTTTTCTCCGCGTGAAGCTTCCTTTCCGAACGTACGGCTTTACGATCGACTGGAAGCAGTTCCGCTCAAACACGCGGAACCAGTTATATCTAACAAAATTGTTTGTATAAAGCATTTTAAATGGCACTATAATCACATGTAATGAAATTTAACCCATTTAGGCCGGGAAAGCATTACCGCATTTCTACCATTCATCCCGGGGGTGCTGTTGCGTCATTCTACCATTGACGCCGGGAGAGCATATAAGTCAAGCAAGAAGAAAGAAGTTTTTTTCAAGCAAACATGGAGGAGTTTGACAGAGAAGAGTTGTCGGAAGGCAGTGATTTTGAGGAGTGTGTCGGCTTTGATGACGGTATAGATGAAAATGATGACTTTGAACGCGCTGAACCAATCGAACTACCACCGCAATGCATGGAGTGTTTTCAACCGCACACCTGGAGTGAAAGTTGATTTGCCTGCAGACGCCACACCGCTGCAGGCATTTGAGCATATTTTTAATGAAGAACTTTGGATGCATCTAGTTACCGAGATGAATAGGTACAGTGACCAAACAAACCAAACTCCAACAAGAGCAAAGATGGCAAAGTGGTCACCCGTGACTGTGACGGAGATGAAGACATTTATTGGGCTGTGTATGTAAACCTCTCTTCAGGACGCAGTTCCCCCAAAATATGTCCCGGGACAGATTTGTGGCCATCTGGAGGTAGGTTGTATGCAATTTATAACACAGACATGCATTATTATGCATAATAATACTGTTAATAAGTAATCATCAGATAGTTATTTATGTAATGTTTGTTCTTTATTTTGAAAACGTTTTATATTGCACATTCTCAATGAAGACATGATCACATATGGAAAAAATAAAAGGTTGAATTTTTTTTTTTTTTAATTACTGCTTTTCACATTTTTTTTTGGGAAGAATTTCAAAGATAAAATATATTTTGAGTTCTATCTGCTACAGAAGCTGAGATATCAATAATTTAGGCGTTGACACAGTTGCTGAATTTACAGAAAAACTTCAGGTTTTAGGGGTATTTTTTAAAATCGGCCATAGGTTTTTAAGGTGTTTTTTCCAGGCGTTTTAGGCCTAAATGGGTTAATGCCAATTAAGGCCTTAAATTGAAAAGATAATTTAATGACTTTTAATGATATTTACTGACGCACAGAAACCCTGGGACAGTGATGGAGAACTTTTTGAGAAGAGAAAATGCAAAAGCCAAACAGGACAAAACTCAGATGAAGGTCCTGGTTTGACGGGTCAACAAAAGAAAAAAGATGGTGAACAGCGAAGTGATGCAGCGAAAGCTTTTTCATTTGGATTTACGTTCAGCGGGATGCGACAAAAAGGACCCCGCTGTGCTAGGTGTGTTGAGAAGCTATCCACCATTAATGTTGCCAGCTGGTAAAGCCATTATAAAGGTTTGGCCCTGAGTCGGCCTCAGAGGCAGCTAAAGGGCGGGATGATGTTGGATAGTGAACTTTGTGAAGAAGTGACCTTTGAGATGCATCTTATTTGCGTCCTTATGTGAAGAAATGGGGGCGGAGCATTAAATCTTATTGCTTCACATGGAGGTCCGGTGGCTGTCACATGGCAAACTTCTGGCCCCTGTGTACGAGTTATGAGAGGAACTTAAAGTATTTCTGACAAACGAGCGGTCTGATTACTCAAAGCTGGAATACCTGCTGATATATTTCATTATCTAAATGAGCTGAACCCACTATGCTCAAATGAAAACCTGCTAACAGCACTGATAAAAAGAACGGGTTCCGTTTAAAGGTGCAATCTGGAGATGTTCCCGCCCACCGAGACACTGCAAGATGGCACAACACTCCTGCAATGTGTGTGATTCTTGAGGAGAAGTCTTGATTTATTTCTCTTCAGCTTTCCCAGAATGCCTTGCGTGGGTTAGGGAGCCATACAGCTCAGTATCCGTTGCTGGAAGGACGTGACTTTAAAAGAGTGAGAGGAACTCATTGAACTGAAACTAGATCCTGGTTTAAAGCTAAACTTTGCTGATACCTCTGGACAGTTTTCGGTCATCCGTTGCCAAGGAGTTCCCAATTCTGGCCACCAAAGCTATTTAGACATTGCTCCTTTTTCCAGCCTCCTATCTATGTGGGCGGAGCTTCTCAAGCTTGACTGAGATAAAAACTAAAGTTCAGTGGATTGTTTTCAAATTTCTTTTCTTTTTTTAGAATTATACAAAGATTGTAAAAAATATGTAAACATTTTGCACTTAACATAAAAATTGTACTTTTCCATCTGTCAATCTGCTCTATAATCCAGAACTCCTCAAGTGGAAAAGTTTTAGTTTTATCTGGTTTAATTTATAAAAAGAAAGGAACCTTTGGGTATCGGATTATGAATTGAAAAACTAATCTACAGATTAACCGATTAGCAAAATAATCATTAGTTGCAGCCGTAGTTTAAATCCTGTGACGATCAGAGTTTAGCAGAACTAGAACTAGAACCAGGCTCAGCTGCAGACGAACCTGAAGCCTGCAGCCCGGCTGGTTCATCTCCTCCTTCCCAGAGGTTTAGTCTCACTTTATAGATCCAAATCAACCAGATCATGCAGTCAGATTGGTTCAAAGTTTTCTATCTAAGGAAAACCAGTTGATTGCTACCAAAGTCATCATTATTGACTCTTCAGCAATCCCTCACACTCTGCATGCTTATAGCGACAGTGGAGAGGAAAAACTCCCTTTGAACAGGAAGAAACCTCCAGCAGAACCAGGCTCAGTGTGAGCGGCCATCTGCTGAGGCCCACTGGGGTTCAAGGAGACAGAAGCAGCTTCAAATAGAAGCTCAGGTAGGATGATGTCTTGTCCGTAATGTGGCGTTTTATGTGTGTAAAGACGTCCATTGACTTCCTGGTCTCCCTGCAACTAGATGTTGATCTATGCAGCAGATCTGTAGATCTATAGGTGCTGCTGTAGATTCCCACATGGAGACAAGCCGCTCTAAAAAGTCCCTAAAACTTTTCCAACTCAATCAGCATAGATCTAAAGCAACCAGAATGACTTCCAACCCTAAAGGATCAGAAGACACTTTAGAAGGTGGAGGAGCTTATGGAACAGCTAACCTGATCTAGGCACTGAGTTTCTAGGTGGAAAGACTTACTGCTGCTGGCCAGCTTCAGCTTGGTCTTCTCCCGGGCCGATCGGAAGATGCCGTTGGGCTTCAGGTCCTCCTCCTCCTTCTCCTGCTCTCCTTTCCTCTTGGCCATGTCGTTCTGCTTCTTCTTGTAGGTGGGTTTGGACTGGCGCTTGGCTCTGCCCTCCATCTTGCTCTCGCTGGTGTCCGAGTCGTCGGCGGCGCTCTCTGAGCCGGAGTCATAGGAGCGTTTGTAGCCCCGTCTGGAGAAGGACTTCCTCTCCTCGCCTCCCGCCGATGCTGTGTTCTTCCCTTCCTGGTTCCGCTCTCTGTCGCCTTTTCCACCGCCATCTTTGCTCAGGTCCATGTCTCCGGACGTGGAGGCGCTGAGGTTGACGGTGCAGGGTTTAATCATGTCTGACATGGCGGCGGCGCTGCTGGTGCTGCTCAGCAGCCTCTCTGTTCTGGGGGAGGGGCTGGGGGCGGCTGTGGCGGCGGTCTTGTCCTCCTCGGAGTGGCGGGTCAGCCAGGCTTTCTTCAGCTTGTGGTAGTTGCTGGGCTGGGCCGGGCCGGAGGACTGACCATTGAGCAGCGGACTGGCGGCGCTCCCGGCGGAAGAGCTGCTGCTGTCCGAGGACGGTGGGGGCGTGGAGCTGGGGGTTTTTTCCACTGCGTCTAGAAGAGAGGACGCAGCTCCGATTGGCCCGGATGCGGGGTTGGTTCTGGACTGGGCCGCAGCCAGAGCAGCCTTGTGCTTTTTTAAATGAACAAATGAGGGAGAGAAAGGCTGAGAGGAGCCGGCGAGCCGCTGACCCCCAGGGGGCGGAGTCAGCCCTGGAGAGGCGGATCCTGAGTCGACGCCTTCGGCTGCTGAGACGGAGGAACTTCCTGTCTTTTTAACGTCAGCAGCCGGAGGAACGACGACGGGGGACCGACACACAGCGTTGGGGCCGTTGCCCCCTGCTGGGCCCTGAGCGCGCTGCATGGAGGGCGTCTGGATGACCCGGCCCCCTGCGGAGGGCGGTGGCGTGGAACCAACCGGACCTTCGTACCGGACCGTAGTGGGTCGCACAATGACAGACGCCACCGCTGCCTGAGGCTTCCCCCTCGTCACCTCCATGTCCCGACAGAACACGCTTCCTCTGTCTTGGATGGAGTCTCTGGACCGCCACCCGTCAGTCAGAACGGCCCCGCTGACGGGGGGCGCCGTTGTGGAGGCGGCAGCGCTTCCATGGAGTTTGGTGTCCCTAAGTTCTGGCACCAGGGTGGGGGGCTTCTGCTGCTCCACTGAGGCTTTGGTGCTAGCAGTGGCTAAGCTAACGGGCTGGATGGGTGTGAGGGTGGGGGGGGACAAACGCCCGCCGTAGCCCCCCTTCTCCCGCTCAGTGTTGTCTTTGCGTTCTATGGAGAGCTGCGTGGGCGGATGGTAGACGGGGGCTCTGAACAGGGACGGCATGGCCCTGAGCTGCTGCTGATGATGATGGTGGTGGTTGGACACGGAGGATATGGGGGGGGTGTGGGAGGCGGCGGGGCTGCGGCGGTCCCTCCTGTCTAAGCTGCTGAGGTGTTGGTGATGGATCAGAGAGGCCTGCTGGCTGAGCTGCTCAGTAATCTTCCCCGCTAGCCCCTCCCCTCCCTCTGGTTGGTGCTTTATGAGAGGGGGGGGCTTGGAGAGAGACGCCTTGGAGCCGTAACCCGCCAGAGGCTGGGCTCCCTGGATGCCCACACCCCCCACCGGAGAGCAGAGGGAGCCTTTGTCGTAGTAGGAGCTCTGCTCCTTGGAGGGGTACAGTCTGGGGGGGTCGTTCACCACGCTGTTGGAGATGGTGGTGAAGTAGCTGCTCTTCTCCGCCTTGATGACGTGGGGGTGGGTGGGTTTTGGACTCGGAGAGGCCAGAGCCGGGACCCGGACGGGGAAAGCCGGGTCTTTGTTCCTGTCCCTGTCCAGGCCGGGGGGGTCGGCGGCGCGCTGGATCTTAGCGGTGAAAGGAGCCACCTCGATGCTCTCCTTCAGGATCTGACGATTCTCCTCTTTGTACTTGACGCTACGCTCGGCTGCATGAAGCGCCTCCTGTAAGGAGAGACGTGAGAACATCAAGGATCATCCTTTACTTTTAGCTCTGAGCTCCAGAACGTCTGCAGAACATTTCAAACCCTCCAATCGTTTCTCTGTCAGGCTGAAACTGGTCAGAAGATGTGAGTAAAAGGATCTTAATGTTCTCAGAGGTTCTACGCGCTTCTACAAGAACAATAAGAGTTTTACATTTTAAGCTGAAAGATGAAATATGATTTCATCTTATTTCTGGATCTGGAGGCCTCCTTCCATTGGCAGATTATCTAATTTTATGCTCAGATTAAGAGAAAATACAGAAATTCTTCTAATTTTTAGTTGAGTTTTATGTTTTCAGTTCAGAGGAAATGAGTGGACCTGAATACAGAAAGTACTGCTGATGTCACGGCGTGCCTGGAGGGCGAGGGCAGCTTCGTACCTGCGTGTTGGTCAGACGAGCTTTGCTGTGCGGATCCAGGTAGAGGCGCTGCAGCAGGACATCCTTCCCTGTCGGGGTGCGACTGCGGTCTGCGGGATCCGGTTTTATCTGCGCCAACGTTAAGCTCCTGATTGGATCCACAAACGCCTTTTTCTCCACCTCTCTGCACACAGACGGATTAAAGCAGTTAGAGCAAACATGGTGGCACGCAGAGGAACAGCAGCCGATCAAACCCTAACCCTGCTGCTAAGACAACAGTATCTATCCCACCAACTCTATATTTAATCAATCAGAAAATCCTTTGTGTCTTTTTTACAGTTAAAAATAAAATGTTTTTAGGTAGAAGCAGCTGATTGACCGATTCCCTTTCTCTCATGGTGTTGCCAGCAGGCAGCTAACTAAGGTCAGCCAGAAATTCATAGCTATCACGCTATCACATTGTTAAAGGTGACCTAATGACACCCAGCAGCCAATCAGAATCCAATATTTACCCAGTCTGCAGCAAAGGTCCCCTAAAACAGGCTGCTTTAGACCCCTGCAGGGTCACGAGACTCAAAGGCTGTGCTCACACTGCAGGCCTTGATGCTAAATTCCCATATTTTTGTGAAATCCGATTCTTCTGTGAAATGTGAACGACCAAATTTCCAAACATATGCAACTTGTATGTGATCTCCTGTGTGAGCTGCATTCATACAGCTAAAGTGTCCCTCATGGGCTGTAGAGGAAGCAATGATGTCACACGTAGCCAGCGTGCTCTGGGTTTATGGAAGTAAACATGGATGCTAGCGCTGGAGCGCAGCTAGCGATCTTTAATTTCTTTCCAAACAGCCAGAGGATTAACAACACAATCTTTTCAAGAAGGTTGAAAATAAAGACGGCTCTCCGCATCATCGTCCGCCATGGTTGTTCTCTTCCTGCTTCTGCGTAGCAACACACAAATTTGGGACCACTGTTGAGTATTACCCTGAAATCCCACATCCTCCGTCACTGCTCCGCCCCGCCGTGCTGCGCTTCAGACTATGAGCAAAGCAAAGCCTACATCCTCGGCTGTTCCTCTTGTCCTGCTCTGACTTCTTCGGAGTTTGAGTAGCTGTGTGTGTGGGCGATATTAAATTCAAAGGAGCAAAACATGCAGAAATGAATGCTTCATTTAATATGACATCCAACAGATGTTCAGTTTCTGCCCAAAAATGTTCTTTTTGTTGTGGATTAACAGGGATAACTAGGATCATGTTTCTCATGAATTTTATTTGTTCTTTCCCTCCAAACTCAGCATCTCTTCATCCAGCCTGCAATGAGAAGTTCCTTTTGAAGTTGTGAGAGGCGCTCTTAGAAGTTTTGAATGGATTCGATTAAACTTTTAAGCCTCTCGGTATAAAGTAAATAATTTGATGGTGCTGCTTCCTGGTCTGTTGAAGTATCAATGGTTTGCATCCAATCATTTCATTATATGGTTTCTGTTTTTGGGAACATTGAAGAATTATGCTCCAATTGCTAGTTACCGATCTGTCGTTTACATATTTTAATTTGACAAACCGGATTTTGTCGCTGTTCTTTTTCCTGTTTGGTGCGAGTGGATTTGTGGATCTTGAGCTGGCCGGACCGGACCGGGGCAAAAAATAGCTCGGCTCTGTATTTTGGCGGTGACGGACGGAGGGGATAAGGTGGATATGGAACAGCTCTCATTGATTAACAGGACAGACAAGTACTCCGCACGACATACGTGAGCGGGGCGGGGCAGAGCGCTGACCGAGGATGTGGAATCTGGGGGTTAATGATGTTCATGTTGGATGAATGCGACCTGGCCGTTCAGACACAGGTCGCATTTAAAAAGATCAGAGTCGTATCGGATTCAGGATCACATAACCAAGTGGGTCACATTGGAAAACATGGGATCTGTGTTGAACAGAATGTCTGATGAAGATCAGATCCAGGTCGCATACGGACAAAAAAAAATCTAATTGGGTAAACTTCAGGCTGCTGAGTGATCGTAGCCCCTATGGGGGTCAGGAGGTGGATTTGATCCCTGAAGATCCTCATGAAATTAATTTCATATGAAATCATAATTCAAATGTTAGATATTCCAGAACTCTGTAAAATAAACCATTAATAACAAAATACATTTAAAATGTTCAATATTGAAATGCAATTTGAAAAAAATTAGTATTTTTTATTTATTGATCCTGTGCTGAAGGGTCAAAGCCGTCATTCTGACCGCTGCGTCTAACGGAGCATCATCATTTCCCTCCTTTAACATCTGTCGTTTATGTTGACTAACAAATATCAGCAACAAGCCGTTTTAAATGTGTCTTCATCTCTTCTTCCCTCCCGCAGTCACACTTACTCTTTGTGGACATCGACCTTGGAGAGCGAGCTGATCTTAGAGGAGGGCCGGTGGGCGTCGGCGCTTGCCGGCCTCACTGGAATGTGGTTCAGCAACCCGAGGCCGTCACCAGAACCGCCAGCAGCCTGCTGCAGCCATGGACTGGCAGCGTTCTGCAGGAGACAAGCAACCATCAGGACACGAACCAAACGCTCCATAAGCGGCTCAACAGGAACGCTTAAACCAAGCCCACGTTTACAGTACAGACCAACAGTTTGGACACACCTTCTCATTCAAAGAGTTTTCTCTATTGTCATGACTATGAAAATTGTAGCTTCACACTGAAGGCATCAAAATTATAAATGAACACGTGGAATAATATACGTAACAAAAAAGTGTGAAACAACTGACAATATGTCTGATATTCTAGGTTCTTCAAAGTAGCCACGTTTAGCCTTGATCACTGCTTCGCTCACTCTTGGCATTCTCTTGATGAGCTTCCAGAGGCCGTCTCCTGAAATGGTTTCCAACAGTCCTGAAGGAGTTCCCAGATATGCTTAGCGCTTGTTGGCCCTTTTGCCTTCACTCTGCGGTCCAGCTCACCCCAAACCATCTGGATTGTGTTCAGGTCTGGTGATTGTGGAGGCCAGGTCATCTGGGGCAGCACCCTATCACTCTCCTTCTAGGTCAAATAGCCCTTCCACAGCCTGGAGGTGTGTTTGGGGTCATTGTCCCGCTGGAAAATAAAGGATGGTCCAACTAAACGCAAACCGGATGGAAAAGCATGCCGCTGCAAGATGCTGTGGAAGACATGCTGGTTCAGCATGCCTTCAATTTTGAATAAATCCCCAATAGAGTCACCAGCAAAGCATCCCCACACCATCACACCTCCTCCTCCATGCTTCACGGTGGGAACCAGGCATGTTGAGTCCATCCCTTCACCAAAGATCTCCAATCTGGACTCATCAGACCAAAGCCCAGATTTCCTCTGGTCTAATGTCCGTTCCTGGTGTTCTTTAGCCAAAGCTAGTCTCTCTGCTTGTTGCCTTAGCAGTGGTTTCCTAGCAGCTCTTCCACCACGAAGGCCTGATTCACACAGTCTCCTCCTAACAGTTGTTCTAGAGATGTGTCTGCAGCATTGACCTGCTCTCTAATCTGAGCTGCTGTTAACCTGCCATTTCTAAGGCTGGTGACTCGGATGAACTTATCCTCTGCAGCAGAGGTGACTCTTGTTCTTCCTTTCCTCGGGCGCTCCTCATGTCAGCCAGTTTCTTCGTAGCGTTTGATGGTTTTTGCGACTGCAATTGGAGACACTTTTAAAGTTTTGCCAAATGACCTTCTTTTCTTAAAGTAATGATTTTACTTAGCTGCTTTTTTCTTGCGATAAAACAAACTAACAATTTATTCAGTAGGACTATCAGCTGTATGTCCACCTGACTTCTGCACAACCTGACTGATGGTCCCAACCCCATTTATAAGGCAAGCAATCCCACTTATTAAAGCTGACAGGGGACACCTGTGAGGTAAAACCATTTCAGGTGACGGCCTCTGGAAGCTCATCAAGAGAATGCCAAGAGTGAGCGAAGCAGTGATCAAAGCTAAAGGTGGCTACTTTGAGATCCTAGAATATCAGACATATTTTCAGTTGTTTGACACTTTTTTGTTAAGTATATAATTTCACATGTGTTCATTCATAGTTTTGATGCCTTCAATGTGAATCTACAACTTTCATAGTCATGAAAATAAAGAAAACTCTTTAAATGAAAAGGTGTGTCCAAACTTTTGGTCTGTACTATAGGTCTAGGATGGACCGGCACCACGGGCCGCTGATGCTGCCGACCCAAACCACTTAGAAAGTGGACCTTTAAGAACAATCAGAGTAGCTAGAGGACGGAGGGACGGTCCTGGTTCTGCTGGACCGTCAGACACCTACCCTCCTCAGGGACGCCTCGGCGCTCACAGTGATGGGGCTCTCAGAGTGGACCCATTTGGCCGTAGGAGGCAGGTTGAGTCCGGGGGGGTAGGGGGGTGGCGTTCCGTTGGGGTAGGGCCAGATGATGGGGTACAGGCCCAGACTCGCCGCCCCGCCATGACCCTGAAACACAGAAGGTCTTTGGTCATCCATCATCAACTACAGACAGCTGAAAGAGGCGGAGTCAGAAGACATACCTGAAGGAATTGCTGCTGGTGAGGGAGGGCCAGGTGACCCAGCCTCCCCGGGGAGTCCAGCCGCGGGTGGCGCTCGAACAGAGACCCTGGCGGTGGGTGCATGGCTGACAGCATCCCGGGGGGCAGCAGGTGAGTGTGGGGGAGAGGGGAGGAGTGAGGGGGGGCGAGGAGGTGGGAGGAGTGAGGAGGGTGCAGCGGGTGCAGGTGGGGGTGCAGGTAGGCCGCCACGTGGTTGGATGAGCTGCTGGGGGGGGCGGGGTTCTCGGCGTCCGAGCGGACCAGCGCCGGGTCCCGGTAAACGGTGAACGTCTCGTTCTTGTCGATGATCAGCGGACTCTTAGTGCCGACCCCCGCCCCCTCCGATCTGGAGGCCACCGGCTTGAAGCCGGAGCGCGGCGGTTCAGCCACATCCACTTTAGAGGGCGGGCGGGCACCGGCGGACGGGGGGCGGGTCCGAGAACATCAGAACTTTGTGTTTGCTGACCTCAGGGGAGGTGCTGGGTTTGGGTTTGGAGACGTCCAGGAGGCCCGGGTGGGGCTTAGCTTTGAGGTCTGCAGGGTTCTGCTGCAGCGGCTCCGCCTGAGTGGCGCCCGGCTTGGGTTTGGCCGGGTCCGGGGGCGTGGCAGTCCTGCTCCTGTGGAGGGCGGCTTGTTGTGGGGGGGGTAAAGATAGAGGAGCAGCGTGGTGGAGCTGCTGCTGCTCAGGCAGCTGCTGATGAAGCTTCTCCTTGTCCACCGGCGCAGCGTTCTCTGCTGTGGACCCGGCAGGCCTTCAAAAAGAACAGATGATCCGGTTATGTTGGGTTTATCAGCGAACCCCCCCGCCCTGGACGACCCAACCCAGTCAGAGCGGCAGACTCACCTCAGCGCTTCAGCGGGAGAAAACTCTAGCCTGCTTCTGGGCGAAGGGACGCCCGGCGCTCTGGTGAGGACGTCCAGCTCCACCCTGCGGCAGCCTTCTGGTGGGGAGGGAGGGGCCGCTACAGGGGGGGAGGAGACGGGAGACGGGTTAAGGGGGAGGTAAGGAGAGAGGGTGACCGACTCGTCCTTCTGGGAGGCGAGGAGCGCCGACACCGCCTCCGAGCTCTCCTGGTGGACGGTGGCCTGAGCGTCTTCTGTGATGTCGATGACGGCGCTGCCGTGGAGCTGAGCCAGCGACGGCGTCCGGGACGGAGAGGAAGCTGAAAGGCAGACAGAGTGAGGATCAGATCAAGAACCTGAACTGACTGGCGGCTCTCCGAGCACCTACCTTTGATCTTGGCGCTCTCCGTAGCTCCGCTCTGGGTCATATCGGGGAGAAGGGGGGATCGGGTGATCTGGGTCAGCGCCACAAGCTCGTCCTCTTCGTTTGCTAGAATCGATACCGGTTCCTTTCCTTTCTTCACATCCTCTGCTGCCTGAAGCTCCGCCCACGGAGAAATGCAGCGGATGAGAGACGAGGCGTCGTTTGTTTTGGGTCCCTTCGACGTCTGTGTCTCTTCCTCCCCCAATCTGGAACTTTTGATCCCGTCGCTGCTGCGAGTCCTTAGTTCGTTCTCAGAGTTGGGCTCAGAGGAGGAAGAGGAGGAGGAAGAAGATGAGGAGGAGGATGAAGAAGAGGAGCAGCAGGAAGAGTGGGCGGTCCTCTTGTGCGGGTTCTCTGAGTCGCTGCTCTCTGACAGGTCTGACGTCATGTCGGCCTTCAGCCTCTTCAGATCCGCCTTCTTCTCCTCTTCCTCAGCTTTCCTGCGCTTGTTTGCCGCCGGCTTCATCTTGGCTTTCGGTTCTGCAGAAACATCAATGGTGGTCAAACATCACTGATGCTGTGGTCTACAGGAGCACGGACAGGAAGTCTGGCCCCTCTTCATGTTCTCACCTCGCCCAGCGGGTTCCTCCTTCCTGTCCTTGTCCTGCTCTGGAACGCTGCTGTCCGATCCCTTCCTCCTGGAGGAGCGAGCGCCACGCTGCTCCCTCGACTCCCGCCCGCTGCCGCCTGTCGAGTGGTACGCCTGGCCGACTGCCTGCTGGATGGGATGGGCCTGGCTCTGCTGTGGGGAGGCCTGGGGGCCCTGGGAGCTCTTAGGATTGGCTGCTGATGACATCAGAAGGGGGCGGGGGCTGTTTGCCTGGGCGCGTGTGTAATGACTCTGCGAGGATCAAAGAGGGCCAACATCATACTCAGAGGAAACATGGAGGATGCAGAGCGAGCAGGTCTACGGTCTACGACTGAGAAGGGTTTTTATTGCCAGCAAACACAGATTTAAAGATGAAGATCATTTCAGAGCATCTGCTGCTGTTTGAAGGCGGTTATAGCGGCAGGTGGAGGTCATTAGCTGCTAACGAGCTAGCCAACAAGATGACTGTCTACACTCCACGCTCTGATTTATTTCTATAGAGGCTTAAATAATCAGATTATTACAGAATCAACAGGTTAGAAGTTTAACAGAAGCAGACTTAAAAAAAAGAGCAGAAACAGCGGGAGACATCAGCACTGAACACGTCTCCATTTCTCTCAGTAAATATTTCTCCAGAAGCGCTGTTGACATTTTCACCAGATGTCGGTAACAATCCATGAGATCCACACATATTAAAGGGGAACGACATTGTCCACCATATTGGATCAGTCCGTTTGCTGCACATGTTCAGAAAGGTCCAAACAGACAGCAGCAAACCATTTGAAAACAAACGATGCAAAGAGCAGTGTTGCCAAATCTATGGAAAGAACTAATGGTCAGAGTTCATAGCAGAGGAACATGAAACCTTCAAGATTGGAAGACTGTGAAGAATGGGCCAAAATCCCACCTGAGCAATGCATGCGGCTCCTTTCTCCATCCAGGACAATACATTTTTCCGCTGCGTCGTTCTACATTATTAAAAAACTTCATTTCTGGACATCTATGGTTTGATTTTTCTTTAAATGTATGGATTTAAAGATTGTTACCAACATCTGGTGAAAATATCGCCTCTAGAAATACACTCACCGGCCACTTTATTATGTACCCCATGCTTGTAACGGGTTGGACCCCCTTTTGCTTTCAGAACTGCCTCAATTCTTCGTGGCATAGATTCAACAAGGTGCTGGAAGCATTCCTCAGGGAGTTTGGTCCATATTGACATGATGGCATCACACAGTTGCCGCAGATTTGTCGGCTGCACATCCATGATGCGAATCTCCCGTTCCACCACATCCCAAAGATGCTCTATTGGATTGAGATCTGGTGACTGTGGAGGCCATTTGAGTACAGTGAACTCATTGTCATGTTCAAGAAACCAGTCTGAGATGATTCCAGCTTTATGACATGGCGCATTATCCTGCTGAAAGTAGCCATCAGAAGTTGGGTACATTGTGGTCATAAAGGGATGGACATGGTCAGCAACAATACTCAGGTAGGCTGTGGCATTGCAACGATGCTGAATTGGTACCAAGGGGCCCAAACAGTGCCAAGAAAATATTCCCCACACCATGACACCACCACCAACAGCCTGAACCGTTGATACAAGGCAGGATGGATCCATGCTTTCATGTTGTAGACGCCAAATTCTGACCCTACCATCCGAATGTCGCAGCAGAAATCGAGACTCATCAGACCAGGCAACGTTTTTCCAATCTTCTATTGTCCAATTTCGATGAGCTTGTGCAAATTGTAGCCTCAGTTTCCTGTTCTTAGCTTAAAGAAGTGGCACTTGGTGTGGTCTTCTGCTGCTGTAGCCCATCTGCCTCAAAGTTCGACGTACTGTGCGTTCAGAGATGCTCTTCTGCCCACCTTGGTTGTAACGGGTGGTTATTTGAGTCACTGTTGCCCTTCTATCAGCTCGAACCAGTCTGGCCATTCTCCTCTGACCTCTGGCATCAACAAGGCATTTCCGCCCACAGAACTGCCGCTCACTGGATGTTTTTTCTTTTTCGGACCATTCTCTGTAAACCCTAGAGATGGTTGTGCGTGAAAATCCCAGTAGATCAGCAGTTTCTGAAATACTCAGACCAGCCCTTCTGGCACCAACAATCATGCCACGTTCAAAGTCACTCAAATCACCTTTCTTCCCCATACTGATGCTCGGTTTGAACTGCAGGAGATTGTCTTGACCATGTCTACATGCCTAAATGCACTGAGTTGCCGCCATGTGATTGGCTGCTTAGAAATTAAGTGTTAACGAGCAGTTGGACAGGTGTACCTAATAAAGTGGCCGGTGAGTGTATATTTACTGAGAAAAACGGAGCCCTGTTCAATACTTATTTCTCCCGCTGTGGATGAGGGTCTGATGGATGCTGAATCATTATCCCAGCTAATCAGAGCAGCGACTCTAACAGCTAATATCTACGCCTGGTTTCTGTGGATTTCAGGGATGTGCTCTGATCTAAGGCCCCTTTGAGATCATGGCTCCATCCTGGGAGGTTCACTGGGTCTTTACAGAACGGAGGGTTGAAGTGGACCCACTGTGTGCTGCTTTAATCCCCTGCGGTTCTGATAAATCAGCAGAACCTGACAATAGCAGGCAGCTGATGACGAGGATGATGATGGTGAGGATGAGGATGGTGAGGATGGTGCAGAGTCCTCTTAGAATTTAAAGTATCTGAAAGCAGAACGATGCCAACCAACAGCAGTGGTGACCTCATCATATGGGGGGGAACGATGATCTGAAAGGGGCTGCAGCTAACGCTAACTGTAGCTCAGTCCAGTCTGTCCTCCCAGAATGCACCTGGAGCCAATCTGGAAGGTGTAGGAATGCAGGAATGGAGGGTTTGAGGGTACCTGAGTGTTTCCAGTGGTCCCGACGGGTCTCCCTCCAGCCATCTTTAATGTTTAGAGAAACAAAAGAATAAAATGAGAGAAAATGAAATGAACGAGGGACAGATCTGGTCAATGAGCGGTGGAGCAGAACCAACCCACTGAATTCTACACGTCTCCTGACAGCGGCAGAAACAAACAGAACAGAGCAGCAGCAAAGAAATGATCCACACTGAGCTTGTTATGAGACGCAGCAGCGGCCTGAAAGGACCGGAGGAGGAACCAGCAGTACTCACATGGGCTGAGTTGTTCTGGCTGGACCGGGACCTTCGTCTGGAGGTGATGCCGATGTTTTCTCCTTTTAGCAGTGAGTGTACCACATCATCCAGGAAGGTCATCTGCACCATGGACGGGTCCACATTCTGAGGCTCTAGCACCTGAACACAGAGCAGCCATGTTGGAGTCTGTTAATCAGGGGCGGAGCAACACTTCCCTGGCTTTTCAGAACCTTGTTCTGAGGCACGAAAGATGAGGCATGGTCCCTTGATTTTACACCTGGAAAACTATGGGGATAAGCGAAGGTCTGGGATTTCTGCTTCTACATTCAGGTAGCTGTTAAACCAGCTGTCTGTGGCCTACGGTGCCCCCTACAGTCAGCCAGAATAACAGCTGCAGACAGCTAGTTCCACAGCGCAGAACCAACACATCAAACATTAGCCTGGAAATAACGGTTCATAAGAAAAGGGCCGTCCCATTCCGCTATCAGAATGAGTACTGGATTATACCCGACTGGATCACATCGACCTGGATTATATCGGCCTAGATTATATCAGACGGCATGATATCAGAATGGATTATACCGCACTGCATCATATCGGATAGGATTATACTGGCTTGGATCTTACAGGCCTGCATTACATTGGACTGCAATATAAGGGAATGGATTATACCACTAATGTTTACAGGCAGTCAAAGGGGCAAAAACTCAGGCGTGGGAAGAGTTCGGAGAGGCCATGGAGAAAGACTTCTGTACGGGTTTGAAGTGATTTTGGTCCACAATCCAGCTTCTCAGGAGGGGGAAGGAGTACTTGGAAGACCTCCTTAATCCCACCAACACGTCTTCCATTGAGGAAGCAGAGCCTGGGGGCTCCGGCTTGGGTCCTCCCATCTCTGTTGCTGAAGTCACTGAGGTGGTTAAAAAGCTCCTCGGTGGCAAGGCTTCAGGGGTGGATGAGATTCGCCCTGAGTACCTTAAGGATCTGCATGTTGTGGGGCTGTGTTGGTTAACGCAGCTCTGCAACAATGCATGGACATCAGGGGCAGTTCCCCTAGATTGGCAGACTGAGTTGGTGGTTGCTCTATTTAAAAAAGGGGACTGGAGGGTTTGTTCCAACTACAGAGGAATCACATTCTTATGCCTCCCTGATAAAGTCTAATCCGTGGTTCTGGAAAGGAGGGCGCGTCGGATAGTCGAATCTGGGATTCAGGAGGAGCAGTGTGGCCGTGGAACACTGGATCAGCTCTAAACCCTCAGTAGGATTCTGTAGGGTGCATGGGAGTTTGCCAAACCAGTCTACATGTGTTTTTTAGATCTGGAGAAGGGATTCCAGTAACTCCAACTAGGGCTGGGCGATAATTCAATAACGATATATATCGATCGATAAACGTGTGGCGCAATAGAAAAAAAGAGTCGATAAAAGTTAGATAAAAAAACGCAGTTTTCCTTCCTTCTCATTGTAGCCTAGCATGTAGGTTTATGCTAGTCCCTACTTCCTCCCAACCAATCGCAATCGCGGACCCAGGCACGCCGTCACAAAGCGCTGCCCTCTCAAACCACAACACAGAGCACATGAAGATGTCGCAGCAAGGAGAGGCGGAGGAAATTGTTTCAAAGAAGGGTTTTTGTAGTTCGGCAGTTTGGCAGTATTTCGGTCATGGCAAGTCGGACCAAAAACAAACCACAGTCATCTGTAAAATGTGTAGGGAACCAGTGAAAACTAAGTCTGATAACGCAACCAACTTTTTTTTTATCATCTCAGCCGCTCACACCCGCAGGAGTACGAGCTGTGTAGGCCCCGACGCGGCTCTCCTCCGAGGAATCTTCGGGAATTTCGGGAAAATATATATATATTTTCAGTTCTGGGCAGTTTCCCACATAGTTCTAACAATTGAGAGAAAAATGCTGAGGGGCCAGAAACTTCAAATTAATAACTCAGGTTAAAGCAGGAATGCGGCTGGCGGCCGGGGGGGTGGGTGGGTCCATTTATTTATTTGTTATATTTATTTTGGTCACTTTTCTGGTCACTTTAGTTTATTCTTTGTCAGTATTTAATAACATAACTCAGGTCTCTTAAGTTATTTTTCTTTAAAACAATTCTGTTATGGTTAAAAAAGTTGGTTAAATAAAGATTTAATTCGAAGTCTGTGTTTGATCAATATGCATTTTTTTTTATCGATAAGCTTTTTTTCTATATCGCCCAGCCCTAACTCCAACCGGACTCCAGCCACTTGGGCCAGCACCTTGGGATTCCCCCGGAGGAGCTGCCCCAAATGGCTGGGGAGAGGGACGTCTGGGCTTCCCTACTGAAGCTGCTACCCCCATGACCCGACCCCGGATAAGAGGATGGATGGTTGGATTATACTGGCCTGGACTACAGGGGCCTGGATTAGACCGGACTGGATTCTGTTTAATGTTCTGTTCTGTAACCCATTGGAGTAAGAACATTTACCAATAAAATGAAATGATTTATGTTTAAAATTAGGAAAAAAATGCCTCCTGTATTTTATTTTAGGTCATAATATCTAATTGTTCAACAACAGAAATCCCGATTCCATTGGTAGATTATTTCATTCTGCTTTACGGGCCGAATCATTTTGAGATGTTTTAGAGGCGGATTGTTGCAGGTTCCTGCCAACGAAACACGAAGCCCTGATATTAAATATTTTTATTTTTTTTTCTTCCAGTTTGCTTTTGCAGTAGAGGGGAAATAAATTAAATGCAGATTTTTAGGCAGAATTTGACCAAGCGTGTTAATTAGTGCATAGATAAATAAATCACTAATTTGAATAAACATGTAATTAAAGTGATACATTTAATGGGGTGGGATTAAATTTGGGGGCCAGGGGCCCCCGTTCAACTGCCCTTCATCTCTGTTCTTCTCGACTTCCTGATTGATTTTATTCAACCAAAAACATTTAATCTGGGAGGAAATGATGCTGGCATCCCTAAAACTGGGAAACAACAACAAGGAATAAAAGTGATTTCTAGGAAATGAGGATTTACCAGCAATTAACCTTTAAAAAGTGATTGTTAGAAAAATGTGTCCAGAGACTAAATTTCTTACCTGGTCATTCATGACAACCATGTTTCTGCTGAAGAGGTCGTGGTGAGTGATGATCCCAGTGAACCACTGGGTGGCCGAGTCCTGCCTGTACACACGCACACGGTAGCCATTCAGCGAGTAAGGACCTGCGAGGGACAGACAGCTTCAAGACTGAACCGTCCATCATGGTTCAGAGCCAGAGAGAACTATCAAACCCACCTTGCATAAAGATTTCCTGCACCTTCTGGTTCTTCAGCCAGCCCTTCACCTCTTCATGGAGCTGTGGGTTGTCTCTTAACACGGGGTTCTGACTGTCCACCTCATCCTGGAACACATGACCCACAGGTTGGTTAACGTTCATCTCTAATCATCTCATTGATCCATTGATATTATTAAAACCTATTTTTGAAATTTTCTGATTTCATTTTACAAACTGTGGCTGTGTCCGAATGAATCATCACTGTATAGGGCACTATTTAGTGTCTACGCCTTTTTACACGAGTGTCCGAACACCTAGTGGATGAAAGGTAGTGAAATCGAAATTTCCCACAATGCAACTTAAAAAGCAGTGATCATCCATGGTCACTAGATGAACAGATATATCCCAGAATGCTTTGCAAGGAGGTCTCTCCTCGCAAAACATCATGTAATTTGTTGTTACAGCCCACTGTCGCCATTGGCTGTCGCTGTCACCACCTGATCCGTCAGGAAGTACGATCCGTCCTGCGCATGCGCAAACAGATATACATCCAGGTGTCCATAAATGATGTAATTATGGAACTTAAATTACTTATTTCTGTCCTTAGCTCTCTAAAGAATGCTAATACACATCTTTAAAAAAATGTTTTATCACTTTTTCTGAGACAATTTTGATGCTTCATCATTGGACATGCTCAGAGCAGTCTGGCTAAATCTAATTAAACCATGTTTATCTGCATTTTAGTTGTTTCTTTCTTTAGGTTACACACTATATACCAAATTGTTAACACAAAAGTAAAAAAATAAAACTCAAAAAGACTAGATTTATGTTTAAATCCAAAGCTGATAAAGCTAGCTCCTGGAAGTAGCGTAGTATCCCATTTCGTGTGCAGATCTGGAACAGAGGGATATAACAGAAAGGATTTCAATGCATTTATTTTATTATTCTTTAGAACGCTGAAAAATGTAATTTAGGTCTTTTAAACAAAATACAGAAGAGGGCGACCCGGATGGATATCTGGATGCGCAGATGAGCTGATGGCGCGGGACGGATCGGGTACTGACAGTCGCAACCCGCCAGCGGCAACTAATAACAAAGATGGCGCATGCACCGCACGGTGGAGGAGGAGTTACGTTCCCAAGGGGGAGCGAAAGGCAGTGAACATCTGAACGCTCAGGTAACTGAGTTCACTATAAAGTTCACTATATAGTCCCCGCTCTATATAGTGATGGAGGGATTTAGCGGTTAGAGCGGATGGTCGGACACAGCCTGTATTTATTGGGTGGAGACTGAAGCTTCCCCCCTGAATGGAGCAGCATTTCTATTGGTCTGTGTGGAACCAATAGAAACCAGTCTGCTCTGAGTGGGCCTTAGCAACAGCATTTCTATTGGTCGGTGCGCAGACCACCCAGACATGTAGAACACTTCTAAGAAGGAAACTTTAGATAAAATAAAAATGTGAGGGAAAAAAAATTGAATAATCTGGAAAAAAAATTAAATTTGAAAAGATCATCTAATATAATCTGAAAAAAAAAACAACAACATATTGGTTGAACTTTTGCAAACGGATAAGTTACTCTAAAAAGCTGTTTTCAAATAGATTTTTTTTTTAAGTTCCACTTTTTAAAATGTATTTGCTTCAAATTTCCCCTCCAACATATTAAACTTTGCTTTCTATAATATTAGACCTAATTTATCTCCATAAAGGATTGGACTAAATTAGATAGCAAACTGGAGCAGCTGACATCAAACATGTTTAACCATCATCACCATAGCAACAAGGAATGCTGGGTCAAACGTTGGGCTGGATGCTTGGATCAGGCTCTTCATGCTTTCAATCTTCCTGCATTAAACCCAGAAATCCTGACCTGAAGGTTAAAGGTCATCAATGCGTTTCACACACCGAGCATTTGGACTACGAGCAGAACTACGGTTCCTGCAGAGAACAGGAACAGAACCGTCTGTGTGCGTCTGTCCCATCTGGCTGACACTGGGAGGAACACGGTGTTCCAGTACAAAACAGGGAGCCGTTCCCAGCTGTCCCAGCACACACACACACACTCAAACACACACCCACCCACCACCAGGGGTTTGAAGTTCAGCCTTCTATGGCTCACCGTCTGCAGGCTGAGGTGACAACAGCGTCTTAACATAACCACTATTTTCTTTTCTTGTAAAAGTACATTAACATGTGCAGATAAACTGTTTGGTAGAACAGTTATTATTTCATTAATAATATTATTTTAACTCTCCACTGGTTGAAACTGATGTTTGGGAATAAAATGTTGGGTTTTTTTTTTTGTGTGGAGAAAATTAGTGAATAAAAAGGGCCGTGTACATTGGCGTGCGCGGCTTGACTGGAGAGGATGCAGCAGGATGTTTGTTTTGGTTGACTGTTAAAAACTAGTTAAAAAATAAAAGAACAAAGATAAACCAGCAATCAAATTTGGTCCCAGCGTCGCAGAACGGGCCTTTAGAAACCTTATTGGAGTTTGCACCCAGAGGACACCGCCCAGTGCAAGAAGACGCCGCCGAGGGGAAAGAAAGACGCTCCCGGTGAGATCTGGACTTTATTTTTCTTTTTGGGGATTTTTGATGGTACCAACGTTTTTTTTCTTACCTTTTTGGGGGGTGTGAAGTTTGGATTTTTCATTTCAGATCTGGACTTTGGACTTTAAAACTTTCAGGACTTGCTTTGAGTTCGGAGGATATGGAACTCCTTTGTGGACATTATTATTAAAAATAAAAAACATTTTTTTGCTGATATAAATTGAGTTTTTTTGAGTCCAACTTATTAATTTGTTATGAAGGATTTTTGGTTATTGATCTGTTTATACTGAGTTACAAGTGAATTAACTATTGATTCTTGGTAGTATTATGATTTTTTTTTCAAAAATCTTGGTTGGATATTTTTACTTTCGCATGAAATTAATAAAGCAACATATTTTACCTGATTCCTGTGTCAGAATCTCGCTGGAGTATATTGTGAGTTCTGCTTTCAATCCAGATGAATTTTAAAGCGTCTTTTCATAGAGTCCTCTGCTAATTACAGGCTCTGGAACCAAATAAACATTTCTGATTTTAAATGCTCAAAAAAATAAATAAATAAAACTTTGCTTTTATAAAAAGCCCTCATTTTTTTGTTCTCTGTAAACATTTTTCCCATTTCTCAGAAACTAGCTGGAGTCGGATAAAGTCGAATGTTTCCAAAAGTGGATAAAGTTGTTGGTTGAATGAAGGAAATGGTCCCAGAAGTAACTTCAATCTGACTTAAGCAGTAATAAACCAAATTTCTCTTTTCTCAAAGGAAGCCAAACAACATTCCACCCCATTCAAATTGAAACGGATGAACCTCCATTCCAAAGGGGTGGACCCGATCATCCGTTTCTACTTGCATGTTTTCTAAACCAAAACCCGCTCGTTAGCCGCACCTCGTCCCTCACCTTTGCTTCCTGCTTTCTACCCGCTCGTTAACCTCACCTCCTAAATCACCTTTACTTCCTGCTTTCTACCCGCTCGTTAACCTCACCTCCTCAATCACCTTTACTTCCTGCTTTCTACCCGCTCGTTAACCTCACCTCATCCCGCACCTTTGCTTCCTGCTTTCTACCCGCTCGTTAACCTCACCTCCTCCCTCACCTTTGCTTCCTGCTTTCTACCCGCTCGTTAGCCCCACCCCCTCCCTCACCTTTACTTCCTGCTTTCTACCCGCTCGTTAACCTCACCTCCTCAATCACCTTTACTTCCTGCTTTCTACCCGCTCGTTAACCTCACCTCCTCCCTCACCTTTGCTTCCTGCTTTCTACCCGCTCGTTAGCCCCACCCCCTCCCTCACCTTTGCTTCCTGCTTTCTACCCGCTCGTTAGCCCCACCCATTACCTCACCTTTGCTTCCTGCTTTCTACCCGCTCGTTAACTCCACCCCCTCCCTCACCTTTACTTCCTGCTTTCTACCCGCTCGTTAGCCCCACCCATTACCTCACCTTTGCTTCCTGCTTTCTACCCGCTCGTTAACCCCACCCCCTCCCTCACCTTTACTTCCTGCTTTCTACCCGCTCGTTAGCCCCACCCATTACCTCACCTTTGCTTCCTGCTTTCTACCCGCTCGTTAGCCCCACCCCCTCCCTCACCTTTGCTTCCTGCTTTCTACCCGCTCGTTAGCCCCACCCCCTCCCTCACCTTTACTTCCTGCTTTCTACCCGCTCGTTAGCCCCACCCATTACCTCACCTTTGCTTCCTGCTTTCTACCCGCTCGTTAGCCCCACCCCCTCCCTCACCTTTGCTTCCTGCTTTCTACCCGCTCGTTAGCCCCACCCCCTCCCTCACCTTTGCTTCCTGCTTTCTACCCGCTCGTTAGCCCCACCCCCTCCCTCACCTTTGCTTCCTGCTTTCTACCCGCTCGTTAACCTCACCTCCTCCCTCACCTTTACTTTCTGCTTTCTACCCGCTCGTTAGCCCCACCCCCTCCCTCACCTTTGCTTCCTGCTTTCTACCCGCTCGTTAGCCCCACCACCTCCCTCACCTTTGCTTCCTGCTTTCTACCCGCTCGTTAGCCCCACCCATTACCTCACCTTTGCTTCCTGCTTTCTACCCGCTCGTTAACCTCACCTCCTCCCTCACCTTTACTTCCTGCTTTCTACCCGCTCGTTAGCCTCACCCCCTCCCTCACCTTTGCTTCCTGCTTTCTACCCGCTCGTTAGCCCCACCCCCTCCCTCACCTTTGCTTCCTGCTTTCTACCCGCTCGTTAGCCCCACCCATTACCTCACCTTTGCTTCCTGCTTTCTACCCGCTCGTTAGCCCCACCCCCTCCCTCACCTTTGCTTCCTGCTTTCTACCCGCTCGTTACCCCCCCCCCCTCCCTCACCTTTGCTTCCTGCTTTCTACCCGCTCGTTAGCCCCACCCCCTCCCTCACCTTTGCTTCCTGCTTTCTACCCGCTCGTTAGCCCCACCCATTACCTCACCTTTGCTTCCTGCTTTCTACCCGCTCGTTAACCTCACCTCCTCCCTCACCTTTACTTCCTGCTTTCTACCCGCTCGTTAACCCCACCTCCTCCCTCACCTTTGCTTCCTGCTTTCTACCCGCTCGTTAACCCCACCCCCTCCCTCACCTTTGCTTCCTGCTTTCTACCCGCTCGTTAGCCCCACCCATTACCTCACCTTTGCTTCCTGCTTTCTACCCGCTCGTTAGCCCCACCCCCTCCCTCACCTTTGCTTCCTGCTTTCTACCCGCTCGTTAGCCCCACCCATTACCTCACCTTTGCTTCCTGCTTTCTACCCGCTCGTTAACCTCACCTCCTCCCTCACCTTTACTTCCTGCTTTCTACCCGCTCGTTAGCCCCACCCCCTCCCTCACCTTTGCTTCCTGCTTTCTACCCGCTCGTTAGCCCCACCCCCTCCCTCACCTTTGCTTCCTGCTTTCTACCCGCTCGTTAACCCCACCCCCTCCCTCACCTTTACTTCCTGCTTTCTACCCGCTCGTTAACCCCACCCCCTCCCTCACCTTTACTTCCTGCTTTCTACCCGCTCGTTAACCCCACCCCCTCCCTCACCTTTACTTCCTGCTTTCTACCCGCTCGTTAACCCTACCCCCTCCCTCACCTTTACTTCCTGCTTTCTACCCGCTCGTTAACCCCACCCCCTCCCTCACCTTTACTTCCTGCTTTCTACCCGCTAGTTAACCCCACCCAGTCCCTCACCTTTACTTCCTGCTTTCTACCCGCTCCTTAACCCCAGTCACTTTAGGCGTTAAACAAAGTTAACATGTTGGAAGCAAAACAGAAGATTGTTCTGAATTAAACTCGCAGGTCTGAAACTTTGTCTTATTTCAGGTTGTTTTTCAGAACTCGATCTATTGATTTTTTTATTTCTAAAATGTTTATTTGGTGTAAAATACATCAATAAATAATAATCAGGGGAAGGAAGAAAAACCGGGGTCCGGTTCATTCTTAGTTTTCTGTTGATAAAGATGAGATTGCAAAAATAAAACTTCACTGTTTTTATGTTAAAGTTTAACAAAAATAATTTTATTGGAATAAGTAACAATCAAGGTTGTTTGAATGTGAGCAGTGATTAGCAGAGTGGCTGCAGGTAAAAATCGTTCCCGGCAGGTTTGTGTCCAAGTTTGTAAAAAACGTTGGAAAAACTGAAAACAGGGTAAATACGACTAAAAGGGTTTGAACAATTTAATGAAATTAATATTGGCCTATTGCAGCTGCTTTTATCATAAAGTGATAAAAAATTTGGTCGGAGATTTTAATATTAAGCTTTTCTTTAATTTAACCGCAAAAACAGGAAAAAAAACAGTGTTTTATTAGTTTGCTTTGTTTTTAATCTAATAAAATGAAGCAAGCACGGTTTAAAGGTGTTATTCCTCTGGTGTTAACCACAGCAGCTGCTTGCTTCTTCTGATACCAAAATGAATGAAATCTAGTTTGCATAGTTCAGACTTTTACTGCCGTGTTTTTATTACCTGGTACGGTTTGCAGGCTGACTGGTCGCAGACAAAGTCCAGCTGTCGGTCCAATAAGAACTCCACAGCCGTTACTGAAGACAGCAGGTCCTTCCCAACCAGAGGCTTAAACACCTGAAAACACAAACAGCAGCTTCTTTATAACAGGGAAACTTTTCTCCTTCTAAACAGGTGATGATGAAGAAGATGAGACAGTTTCATCAAATAGAGAACATGAAACCAGAAGGAAGGAGAACAGATGAATCCTGGACTTCCAGGATGGATCAGAGGGAGGAGCGGCAGGAGTTCAGACATGACGACCAGGCTTTTAGCTAGCAATGCTACGGCCTTTACTAAAACAGGACCAATTAGTCGCCCTGTTTTACCCCAGAAACTTCCCTCAAATGTTCATAATTCCACAAGCAGCAGCTGCTGGAGTTGGAAAAATGGAACTTTAGCTGCTGGATGCGCCACATCAACCAATCAGAGAAGCTGATCTGGGAGCTGGCAGGGAGACAGACACAGCACTGCTGATGCAGAGCGCTATGATCACTCCTCTGAAACTGTTTATTAACGCCTAAATTAACTTAAAATGTAGAAACCTGCTGGCAGAATATGTTCGATCTTATTATCCTGCTGCCTGCAGTTTGTAGCACAGACCTGAAAAACGCTAACATCTACTTCCAGCCGCCACCAACAGTAGAGGAAAACCCCCAAGAGGTGAGTGGGCCTGAGGCAGCTGCTGCTGGGGATTCCCAGTGACAGCGCAGCGCCGGTATGTGGGGGTCTGAGCGGCTCCCACAGAGAAATAATCTTTGAAGGCAGGATGGTAATCTGGAGGAACTGACTGCACAGACCATGTTTTCAGGAGGACTTTCTCACTTCAAAATAGATTCAAACACATTTTTACCTGCTGATCACAGCAAATATAGCAAAGCTGCTCTCTGCATTGAACACAGGAGCAGCAGAAGCATCTGGACACACTTTACTGGACGGCTGACCTTAATGCAGATCAGAGATTAAGCAGCAGAAGCTCCTTTGATGCCGTTCGGTCTGAACGTAGCATCAGACTTTATGATTACTTGAATTGAACTATGAAACATAATATTGTCGCTAAAAATGATCTAATGTCTTCCTGATGAAATTTCCACCTCTAGTCAAGCTCACATCCTTCCCATGATCAGGACTAAAGTAGTGTTGGAACCAGTGTTAATTTCGTCAGCTTTTTTTAATTAAGTCTTAGTCATAAAGACAAAATCTATTTTAGTCTTAGTCAAAGTTAGTCATTTTAGTCACTTTTTTTTTGTAAATAATAGAAATTCCCCACACACTGATTCTCTTTTTAACATATATATCACAGTGTACAGAATAAAAATTCTCCACACACCAGTGTTACCAGAGAGACGATAACACACAAAAATTGTTTCCAGAAAATAAAAATATGACGAAAATAAAAAAAGATTTTTGTTACAGAGACTAAGACCAGATGAAATGTATTGGCCATTGACAAATGTGCCTGTGTCTGTCTGTCTCTCTGTCGTAGAAGAAAGATGTTCTACTGATACTGTGGATATTAATCGTTTCAATTTCTTCCTCCCAACTAGATTCCTGACACAGTGACACCACAGCTAGATCAGAGGTACAGGAAGGAAGGGAAGTCTGTTTGAGGATAAAGACTTTGTGGATATGATGAAACAAGCCGACAAAAGGTTCAATGTGTGCAGTATGATATATGTTAAAAAGAGAATCAGTGTGTGAAGAAGTTCCATTCCAACAGTGTTAAATAAATAAAATAGAGAAAAATGAGAAGCAGTGTGTGAACCTGCAGACATCCAGCAGGCGGAGCAGGAATAGTACACCCAAAACATGATAAGCCTTCATTTTATACTCACCCCCATGCTGAACAACACTCTGGAGTACTTTTTTGATATCTCAAATGCATCTGGAGATCTGGGAGGCTTCTTGCTGTCTGCTGACATTCAAATAATGGAGGTCTATGGTGCCCGAGACAGAAAGGTCCATAAAAGTCCACAAAAAACGTGTCAATATTCCTCCATACTGCTCGTCCAATGTATTCCAAGTGTCCTGAGTGGGTAGCGTCCAGAATTTACTCGAAACGAAGTCATTTAGAATGTTTTTAGAGCATAAACAGTAGTGTATAGGATTTCCTGAAAGCGCGCGCCGGCGCGTTCATGACGCTACGGAAGCCGGCAGACCAAACCAGATGAAAGTGCGCATTCAGCGTCTGCTCTTCCAATAATGCAAGCGTAGAAGAAGAAATGTGCCGTTTACCTGTGCAAAGAAAGAAACAACGAAAGAAAAATGTCTGAGGACTTCAGTGTTGAGGAAGAGCATGAGTTCTTTGCCGAGCTGAATGCGCTGGTTTGGTCTGCCGGCTTCCGTAGCGTCGTGAGCGCGCAGGTGCGCGCTTTCAGGAAATCCTATACACTACTGTTTATGCTCTAAAAACATTCTAAATGACTTCGTTTCGAGTAAATTCTGGATGCTACCCACTCAGGACATTTTCCACAACATTTGGAAGAAGAATGTTTTCAAGATGACTTGGATAATAGCGCGTTGTGACAAACACCAGATACAGCACTGGGACTTGATCAACAGCCGATACCGCACCGTGACGTCACAAACCAGTAGGTGGCAGTAGTGTTCTTTGACAAACATGGATGCCTCCATGAAAGCACATTCAAATGAAAATTACTCTGAATTAAAAACACTGATCATTTATTGAACAGGATGGAATAATTTCATATTTAAAGGACTTTCAGAATATGAGCAGACTTTTCCTTTAACTGGTTTCTGAGCCTCAGCTGATGTCTGAATGGAACCGTAGGAGCAGAGAAGGCGGCGTTCTGTGGGGAACGCTGTGGTTCCTCATAGATTTCTGCTGCAGGAGAGGAATGAAGGTGGACTGAAGCAGAGCTTCATGTCAGCGAACTAAACGTAAACAGAACCAGGTCCAAATCCAGCTGCCTCTAGAGAGCTGGGATTTCATGGTGCATTCAAGTGCATCTGGTAATCTGGATCCTCTCAAAGGGACTGATTGCGGTTTTCTTGGTTCCTCTGATGTGACAGAGAGCAGCTGTCTGTTTGTTCCCAGGAGGAGAATCTGTTCTCTATACTCCCTGAGGCTCGCTGACGGCGTCCAATCAATGAGTAACTCTAAAAACGCCCTTTTCTCCCTCCTCAGAGGAACATTACGCAACCAGAGCAGAGAAGAGTGGGAAGACAGAAACTCTGCCAGCCCAACCTTTGGAACGAGTCACATGACCGACGTCTGGCCTCTCAGAGCTGATTCATCTGACGGCAGATAATGCAATCAATACTGCGTCCGCAGCCGGCGGCCATGTTGGGCTGAGCAGCCTCTGGTCTGCTCGGGGAGCAGCTGAAAAATTTGCTGAACCCAGAGCGCCGTTTCTCAGGGAGACTCCGTAAAAGAGGCGGAGAGAAAGCTTTCAAAGGAGCTGCAGTCATTTTTTCTCCTACATGCAAACACGTCCACGCCTCGCCAACGAGGAGGAACCCCCCCGCTCTGATACCACCTCACAGCTGCTGCCTGCTCACACACTGACGCAGCTCAATCTGCAAGGATTTATGGGCGGATTACCTTTCCCTTCGGCCCAGGAAACCACGGAGGAACGGCTCCGTAGAAAAGTCCTCGCTCAGCTAGCAGGCATCCATCAAGCCTCACAGACCGAAACACGACCAGGAAAAAGGTTTCCTCTTGTGGTGAGAAAAGACAGATGAGGGTGAGGAGGAGAAGGCAGAGGAAGAGCTACACTGCCGACATTTTAACTGCAGCTGAGAGAGAGAGAGAGAGGAGGGCTGAGAAAGAGGAAGATGGGGAGGGAGGAAGAAGGGCCGGCCGACGCTCACTTTCCCTCAGCGTGAACACGATGCACGCTCACTCTCTTTCACTTTCTCTCTCCGCCTCTCAGCACCCAGATCAGCTGTTTCTGAGCCTCCTCTTCCTCCAACCAACCAGGTTCTGAAGCTTTTAACCTCAAAGGGAACTCAGGAGAAGAGCAGGAAACATCTGGCTGCAGGAGGAGCTCCTCCCCGCACGCCGTCAGGACAGAACCTCCTTCAGAACGCCGCACCCTGCCTGGACTACTGACCCGCTATGGCTTCAGCAGTTCCTGTGTCTGTCCTCAGGCGACCCGAGAGTTTCTGTCTGAGGTCTCCGTTCTGGGTCAGAACTGGGCCTCATTAATGGTTCCAGTTGAACACCAGTAGCCCAGAGCATGATGCTTCCTCCACCGAGATTTTTAACAGGAAACGGTAGTTAAAGGGAAACCATCAGAGCTAGCATGCTGCAAAGTTCAGCCTGTTCCACCTTCAGAACGTTTCCACCAACATTTATCAATAAAACGCAGCGATTACTGATGAAACATCACTTTTCCACCAGAACCGTACGGATATAAACATGGGCGGTTCTAGACAGGGGCCAACGGGGGCCAGTGCCCCTGTAGCTCATGTCCTGGCCCCTGTTATGGCCCCTGCACTGAAGACATAATACTTTGTTACTTTTTTTTTTTCTTTACAAATTCTGTTTTACTAATAATTCAGAAACAATAAGGTGATAATAAGGTTTAGTGGTATGGAGATAGGATCCCAGTAGAGTCTACTAAATGTTTTTTTTTAATGCTCTACTTTTTACAGGTGAATTTATCAGCTTTTCTTGAATTCTCATTTAGATTTTTATAAAAAACTGTAATTTTTGCATAAATTAATCGCAAAATCCTGAATGTATATTGACCTAATAAGAAATATTAGTTTAATTAAACCTAATTGAAGGGAAATTTTACTTATGCAGCTCTTAATTAGTTTGAATCCCTTGCCCTGTTTGTTATTTCATGCTTTTCTGTACCCCTTGAAAACAACGCTGGCCCCCTCCTGGCCCCCTGGTACATTTGGTCTAGAACCGCCACTGGATATAAACAAATACAGAAAAACACCGAAAGTCCTTCAAGCTTTTAGCGCAGCCAGTTTCCAGCCAATCAGGCGGAATAAAGATTTGATAAATACAACGCAGTGATAGAGCTCCCAATACCATCCCCTCCCCATCGATATGCAGGGGAGAGAAAACATCTCACCTGGTCAGCCAGGCCATGAATCACCCTTAATGACGAGGAATGGGCCAGTATCTGGTATCGCAGGCCAATAACAACCTCAAAGACTCCCATTATTAAGGGGTGGAGCTGGTTTTCCAGTTTAAATTTGCATGTTTTCTAAACTAAAACAAGACTTTCTTGGGCTACTAGATAAAACCTGGATCTCAACACTATTTCTGACATTTCGAATTGAGAAAGTTTCCTGGATGGAAGAGAAACATCTTCAAACTTGGAAACAGTTTGACTAATCTATTGATTAGTTTTGATTAACTGATTCATCTAAAAAGAGATGCTTTTGGTAAAACATTTTTAAAGAGATTTCGAAAATAAAAAAAATTTAAGAGGCAAAGAATATCCATATAAATCTATTTATGTCCATCGCCTCTAAAAATAAACAGTTGAATGTTTAATGATTTAATGTATAATAGTCAAATCAGCAATGAAATCCAAAAGACGCGCAGCAGAACATAACGATGTGAAGATTAAATGCAAAAACATCTCCATCCCAGATGTTGCTGGAGTCTCTGAAAAACTCAAGAGGATTTTCTCCAAACACAAAATCCCAGAACATTTCAAACCAAACAGATCCTTAAACAGAGACTTCAGCTTTTAAAAACCTACAATGCAGCAATACGATTGATTCCTTCCTGCTATCATCGCAGCTCCAACCTCTTTACAGGAGAACAGAAGACCTCATCTATTGAGCCAGACCAACAATTCCCTTTAACGACCCCCCTTTCAGAGACATAGACAGGTATGTGGCATTGCAGGCTAACAAAGAAGCTAAATGACCCCCATTCCAAAGGGGTGGACCCGCTCCTCCGGTTCAATTTGCATGTTTTCTAAACAGAAACAAGGCTTTGTTGGGCTGCTGTATAAAGTAGGGGTGTAAATCACATCTATCATGGCGATTCGATTCAGTATCGATTTCCTGACCCAACGATTCGATTATTTTCGTTACTCGAGAAAACACCACGATTCGATTAGTTTTTTTTGTTTTTTTTAACAACCTTACAGGCTAGACAATGTTTCAAATTTGAAATAAATCAATGAAAGCTGTAATATTGTTATGCATTGTTTTTGAGAAACAACAGCAAATAACAGAAATAGAAAAGTCGTACTCCATCTATTCCTATTAAAAACTCATGAAAAATAATAATACCCCTGCGTTATAGATTCTGAGAGGCTTTGCATCAAAAAATGCTGCACAAAATCAGTGCAATGAGTGCAATGCAATGCAATACCTCGGCTCCAGACGTCCCCGCCCCCACCACAGACGCTGCGCTGCACCTCTCCCAAATTGTAGCTGACTGCAGACAGGAGGCCGGCTTGTTTTGTTTTTATGACCGAAATTGCGGAAAACAACTCGTGAAATTTGACCCGCTAGAAGAGCGAGGTGCACGAGAACGCTGGGACCCTTTTTCCCACCTGGATCCCCGCTCTTTTTGGCCCTTATGTCCCTCCGTTGTCGCACAAACTCGCCCCCACTTCCTCATCGCCTCGGCCGTATCTAAACCCACAGCGTATAGCACAAACCACGCAGTAAATATTGAGCATAAATAAAAAAATGTCTGCGTCAAGCTCACTGCGACACACTGCTGTAGTAGTATAACCAGGAAGCGAGGTAGGGGGGAAAATAGGTTTAGCGCCACCGCAGCACGGGAGGGAGAATTACGTCCAGGAGCAAATGGATAAAAAACAAAATACAAAACGATTATTTTTTGCACCCCTAGTATAAATCCTGGAACTCAACGCTATTTCTGACATTTCGAATTGAAAAAGCTTCCTGGATGAAAGAGAAACGTCTTCACACTTTGAAACAAAGTCCAGTTGACTTTGTTGGATTACTTAAATGAAGTTTTTTTTTTTTTTTTTTTTTTTAGATTTTCTGTTTATATTTGCGGCTATAAATTGGTTCTTTTAGAGTCTGGGCCTCTTTACTCTGGGTAACCATTCCCAAATTAGTTAATTAATCTCAATAATCATTTAAGTGCTTTATAAATAAAGTTTTCATTTAAATATTAGTTATCTCTTAGGATGGGGTGATGAGTTGCTGCAGCATTAGCATCATTAGCAGTTAGCTGTGAGCCATCAGCCTGTGAGCTTCATCAGAGTCGGTAGATCTGAGACAAACAGACTGAACCTTATTAATAAAACAAAGGTTTAAAAAGCAGCAGCTGAAAGGCTGCAGTGAAAACGAAGGTTTAAACTGCTGAACCTCTACAGCCGTTGACCAAGGCACCTAAAACCAGCAGGAACGTCATGAGAGGACGGAGCTGACGGATCTTCAGGCTCGGTTCTTCCTGATGGAGCCGAATCCCACCATCATCAGCCTGAGCTCCGATGACACAGATCCACAGGAGGCAGATTAGACAGCCCAGCACCATCTGCTCAGGACGGCAGCAGCAGCTTCTGTTTTATTGACCCAGTTTCTATTCAGACTGCAGCCGAGCTGCTCAGAGCTGCTCAGAGCTCCCAAACAGGAGGAAACCATCTCCACCTGATCTCTGCATAAAAAACCCGAAATAGAGCCTGAATATTGGGGCAGCTTTAACAACAATAATAATAATAATAATAATAATAATAACTGAAGTTTATTGATCTCACATCGGAGAAATTCCCCCTCTGCCTTTAACCCCTCCCCTTGGGAAGCCGTTGGCAGAACCAGACTGTTACATCTTTCTCACCTCAGAGAAAATTTCTCCTCCAAATAGAAGCTGCTGCAGCAGCAGCCTGGGGGCCTTTTCTCTTCCTCCATGAACCACTCTTATTGCTTCCACATGCTGCCAGAGGGGGTGGCGTCTAAAGCTGCCTCTGCTCCTTTAACAACACACCCTCAGCTGATGTTTAAACAGGAGGAACCTGCAGACCCAGAGGAGCAGAGGGATCATCCTGAACAGCGACCTGAGAACAACAATGGAATCCTTCAAAATGTTTGATCTGAAAGCCGTTTCTGTCTCAATGCCGTCAGGTTGGAAGGTTCTGAACAGAACCAGCATAGATACCAGATCTGCTCGGGGCCCCGCCCCTTCTTATGACGTCATCATATAGCAACTCCACTCTGACAACCTTTATTGCACCCGTTTCTTAAGTGTCGAATCTCATCTGGAGTCTCAACATATTATTCCCCATATTTGCTAATATTTTCCATTTTATCGGCGATCCAAAGTAGACGAAAGTAGAAAACAATCATGGTCAGTCTGGAAGGAAAGTCCTGCCTTGTAGTAGCTCTCCATTGTTTACATCCCTGATGTCGGTTCCTGATTTCTGTCATCTTCTGACATCATCAACGCTAACCCAGTGTGATGATGTCACCAGACGTGGAGCTGCAGGGGGTCAGAGGCCACACAGCTTCCAGCGAGGGGATAGACCAGCTTTATTAGCCAATGGGAAGGGAGCCACACACTTACTGTTAGCAAGTCGACCATGTTTGAAAAACATGGGTTATTTTCAGCGGGAGAGAAAATTTAAAGAACAACTTTGGGATCATTGAAAGCAGTTCAGTGATGTCATGGCAGCAACCCCTCTTCATTTAATAAAAACAGCAACTTTCAATCCTAAATGACAGGAAAAAAATGACTGGGAGGAGAGATCAGGTCAAGCACGTCTCTGCAAGTCCGTCCCACGCACAAGTCCAAGTTCT